AAATAATATATATCACAGATTCACAGATTTATTATTCATCATTACCTTAAGAATTCTTCTGATTTTGCTTTTTACCAAAAGAAAACATTTTTAAATCAAAACAAATTTGTCAACAAAGGATTTGAGAAAAGACATAAGCGTTTCTCAAACATTGTTGAAAAATTGTTAGGACAAACTATTTTTTTAATATTATTCTGAAGCTGTATTATATTTTTGGTACGTTGGGAAAACTACCAAGGTGCTGGCTCTTACCTACCTCGTCTTCATTGTACCATGATTGCATATACGTAAAACAAATCAAGAAAGCCCTATTACAAGCATTCCAATACATCCTTAAATCATTAAAGCTCCGTTTTTAGAAAACAAGTTTGAAAATTTTCGTCTCACTCCAAGACCACAATATTTTTCTTTTAAAATTTTCCTTTTAAAATAATAAATAAATTGTTTAAACTCAAAATTAAAAAAAATAAAAAACAAAAATATTGAATTATTTTACTTTTCATGAGTTATGCTAAATTGTTCTATTTTGTATCTGTTTCATTCATTTTCTTAATTTGTTTGAGGTAATTTTTTTACTTTTTTTTATTTCTTTAACAGTAGTAGCTTGCTTTGTTGTCTTTTTGTTTTTGGTTACATTTCTTCGTTTAAATTAAGTTGTTGTTGTTGTTTTTTTCAAGTCCCGGGCTTTTATTTCTCTAGTACTTTTTATTTTGTTAATTTAATTTTTTTTAGTTTTTTAATTCGGTTTGTAGAACATCATAAAAAAGTGTATTTCAGTCCCTTAAGTTGTTTCTTTTTTGTTTTTCTTTTGTTTGTTCAAAATTAAACATAATTGAGATATATATGTATATTATTCGGTAGCAAAAAAATTATTATTTGGTGGTTGTGATAATATTGTGTTTTTTTTAGTTTTTTATTTTTCATTGGCCATGGAACCAAAAATAAGATATTGCTCCTAGATCTTCTTTCTCTTTGCAGTGAGTTTCAAGGTACACAAGCTGTTGCATGATTTTGCTTAATTTGTTTGTTAATTTTTGTTTTTGTAATGTAAATAAAAAATATCCAAATAAAAAATATTGAAAATTAAATAGTTATTTAGCGCTTAGTTTTAGGAAAGATTTTGGGGTTTTCCTTTACGAAATAAGATTTTTGAAATTTTTATGAACACGAAACCTACCCGAAAGAAAAAAATACATCTTCCAGAGGGTAAGAAACAAGGCAAATTCAAGCGTTTTGGTGGCAACCTCCACAGGTCTGAGTACGAACGATTCACACAGGAGTAAAATGAAAAGAAAAAATTACATTCTTTCCAAAATCTTGCTTAATTCAAATCATTAAAAAGCATATCAAAGCGGAGTGTCTTCAAAACCTTAGAAATTTAATTATCTGGAAGAATTTTAATTGTGTGAACGAAACCGGCAAATGTAAACATGTTTTTAAATTCGTAAAAAATGGACATTGAAAATCCAAAATGTATTATAAAGTCCGGTACTGTTTAAGAGAGATTTGAATTAAAAGTACAAAAAAAAAAGTTTTTTTTTAATTCTAGAGCAAAATATCCCACAGTCTCTCAGCGGATGTCGAAAGAGTTTTTTTTTACCAAACTTTCGCCATATGTGAAATATTTGTCAAAATGGGATGGATTTCGCTATATCCGGTTAAATTCAGCCTAGAAGCATGTACTTCAAATTTGGTGAAAATTTTTTAAGATATATATTTTTTTCGATTATCGACTATGATATCTCTCATATATTGGCCTATTCCAGAACTGCAAGAATGTCAAAGTTTTCACTAAGATAAACGATTTTCCCTTTATGACTAGTAAATTCTTGAAGGTACTGGAACAGAACATATATATTTATCCGATTTCACGTTTATTTTCACTAAATGGACAATATCAGCTCAGTTGGAGTGAAGCCGAGTTCCACCAAATGGAAACGCACGTCCATTTTTTACACATTAAACCTGAAATCTGATTAAGGATATACAAAGTGAGGTGAAAAAACTGTAACCAACTTCAGACTGCTGTCATTTCTAAGCCACTCGTCCGACAGTTTTTAAAATTATTCCAGTGACATCTCAGTATATTGTTTACAAGCGTAAAAAAACATTTTGGTGAGAATTTTCGGAAAAAAAAAATATTCGTGATGGAATTCAAGCGTGCGATTTTTTATATTTGGCTGGAAAACCAAAGTCGCTATTCTTAGAGCAGTCCAGTATTTAAATGTGAATAAATCTTTTGTGTCTCGTACCATTGCTCGTTACCGTGATACTGGTCCGACGTCACGGAAATGGACGGAAGAAAACAGCAACATCAGCAGAAATGGTTCGAAAAGTAAAGGAGCGACTTGCTCGAAACCCGCGTCGCAGTGGCCGAAAAATGGCTCGTGAGCTGAACATATCGCAATATTCCATTCGGCAAATATTGAAAAATGAGCTCGGGGTAAAACCATAGAAATTCCAAAAAGTGCAAGTACTTACACCACAACAGAAAGAAAATAGACTCAGAAGAGCTAAAGAATTGCTTCGCTTGGCCAAAAGTGGTGAACTGCCGAATTTGGTTTTCTCCGTCTCCGATGAGAAGACATTCGTTGTCTAGCAGTTTGTAAACGAACAAAATCATCGTGTTTACTTGCCAAAGAGTTCAGCTGAAAATGTGCACCTTCGGTTGGCCACCAGAACTCAAGCATAGGCCATGGTGTTGGCGTGGATAGCCATAACACCCGATGGTCGCTCTACGCTCGTATTAATCGAGCGTGCCATCAGAATAAATGCCGAATATTATCGCGAAAATATTATGGAGGGTGTATTTATTAAAGCCTTGGTCACGCAAACCTTGGACATTTCAACAGGACTCAGCACGCGCCACCCAAGAATGGTTACAAAAATGAGGTTCCGCCCTTTATTTCCAGCGCCCAGTGGCCACCAAAATTTCTGGATACCAATCCGTTGGACTATTGTGTCTGGAGTATTTTGAAAAGCAAGGTTGGCACTAAAAAATACCAAAGTGTCGATCACCCCAAGCAAGCGCTTCGCCGAGAATGGGCCAAAATACCGCAAATACCTGAATGGCAGGTTGTGACGATTTCATTAGCCGTTTGAAGGCCATAATTCCTGTCAAAGGTGATCAATTCGAACAAATCTAAACTTATTTTAAAATTTGATGCTATTTCCGATATTTTTGGCTTTCATTCGATAAAATTTAAAGAAAAATGTATAAAAAATGGCGTTTGACTTTGCTGCAGTTTTTTTTACCTAACCTGTGTATTTTACAAACATGAAATACCAACAGATAAACTCAATAACTTAAAAATTTCTCTAATCTGGTGGGGCATAAAAAATGACTGGACTCGATTAGCCTACTTTCAACATCAAACATCATTTACATTTTACGCTGATTTCTCAAAAGTTTTATTAGACATAGCCAAATTTTACTGAATATGGACCAAGATTGAGGGGTGCAAAAAAATCTGCACTATAGCCACCATCAAATTTGACTTTGAATTTTGTTACTCTTTTGCCACAAATTGTATCATGCTATAGCGTCAAGCTTTGACATGCTACTTATTGGTCTTCCACGTTACTCCTGGAAAATTTCTGAATAAAGTTTATAATAGTTTGCCATTCAATTTCAAAATAAATGGGAAATACTTGGATTTTTTTTTAATTAAATTAGCTGTAGGAGGCTACAGAGCAAATGGATTCTGAAAGATTCTACCACAGAGAAATATATGAATTTCGTAATTATTACCCTTTCGTTTAACCAATTTACAATTCTCCAATTGAGGGAAATAAAAAACAAAAGGCAATTTTAATTTTTAATATGTTTTTTTTATAATAACAAACAATTTAAAGTAGAAAATATTTTTATCCTTATCAAAAAAGAGAGAGAGAGAGAAAAAAACAAAAGTAAATTAAAAAGAAACACTTTAAGAAATTAAAAAAAGAAAGAAGAAAAAATATATTAAATATTTGTTATGGTTTTAAGTTCTTTTTTTTTTCTTTCTCGATTGTATGTAAATATATGTATGTACTGAAGAAAACAAAATCTTTATATAATGTTGTTTGTTGTTTTTTTTTACAGAAAAATAAATGATTTTTGTTTCGCACAATTTATGAGTTCCTTTTTTTACGTTTTTGTTGTTGTATAACTTATAAAGATAACATATTTTTTTGTATTTACTTTTAACAATAAGAAAATTTGATAAAAATTTAACATAAAAAATAATAATAAACAAAATGTTATATTTTGAAATTACATTCCGTATTGTTTTCTTCCTTTTTCGGTTTTTTGTTTTTCTATAATATAAATATTCACTTAAACATACATTGGATGAATTTAAGGTTTGTTTTTTTAAGTTTTTTTTTTTTTTTGTATTATTTTTTTAGTTTACTTTAGAATTGTAACTGTTTGTTTGTTGGGTTTTATTTAAACTTTTTTTGTATTATTTATTGTTGTTGATATTGTTTTGTATTTAGTATTTAGTTAAGAAAATTTTACTATTTTTGTTTTATCATTACTATTCTATGTATGAAATATATGTATGTATGTCTGTGGGTGAATATTGAAAAATAATGTTGACATATTTTCTTTCAAATGTAATGGGTGCTCTGTTCGAAAACCTTCAAGAACATATAAATGTTATCCTGATTTTTCCTTTATGATACTAGCAGAGCTATTACATTTTTACAGTTTCTCGAGCAGAGCTACGTTTTCTTTCTAAGAGTATTTACAAAATTGTGTGTCATATCTTTTGAGGAGTTTTAAATTAAATTAACAAAATCTTTAAGATTTTCAAAAAATGATTTTTCATATATCTCACAATGTCAGTTGATTGTATAACAGGGGGAAATAAGATTACAAATAAAATTTTTGCATGTTTTCGCCCTTAACGTATCTATGGAAAAATAGGGTATAAAAATCCAAAACACTTGAAAAAAATATATCGAAACATTTTCCTTTTTCAATTTTCACCCATCTATGAAATTTCTATGGTTGATTCTTTTGTTATTTGATTGTATATTACAGGTTATTTTGTTTTAATTTTATTCATAGTTCATCATTATTTTTATTTAATATTTAACAGCAGTTTAGGAGTTGATTTTCTTTTACGTTTGTATTTTGGTAATGTAAATTTTTATGGAAAAAATTTAATGTGGCGTCGTGAGTGGCGTTCCATAGCAATTTTCTAAAGAAACAAGGCGCAAGCACCTCTGCTTCTTTGACATAACGTTCCTGGTTTGTTTTTTTTTTTTTAATAACATATTTTCAAAATATTTAACATCTCAAATAGCCTATCCATCCGTCCAATCACCACCTGTGGTTGCTGCTCCATTGTTGTTACTCTTGTTTCGGACAATGATAATAACATTGGCTTTTCCTCCTCTGATTCTTTATGAAATCAATTCTAAAGTTATTATTAAATGTTGTTGTTGACTTTTCTTTTCCTAATATTCTTTAGCATTCTGACAATAGTTAACATTACTTTTAGTATAATTTTTTCTTGTTGTTGTTTTTCTTTACTTTCATCTTCTAAATCTAGTTTTTTTTTTAAATGTATGTATGTGTGTGTGGTCGATTGGCATTTCAAACGCCATTTCTTTTATCATCATTACTTTTCCTTTTTATATAATAATTTTCAATTTTGTTAATAGTTTTTTGTTGTGTTTTTATTTTCGGTCCTCCTTCCTTTCCTCCTAACCCTTGCCTTTGATAATGTTATTATGATGGCTGCCGTTGTTGCGGCTTTTGTTATTGTTGTTGCTGGTTGCAGGGGAATTGCAGTTACAGCTGCCTTTATGTTTGCACTACGACATTGGCAAACCCTGCACATCCATCATTTCGTCCTGGGGCGATGGACGTGGTGGGAAAGCCTGCAGATGGGGTGGTGTCGCCCGGGCATACATGCCCCGCTGGGCGGCAGCAGCTGCCATGGGATATTGGAAACGATAGGAACCATCATGTGTTTGTCTTGGAGTACGTCTAGGTGAACGGGCCGGCATACGATTAGCTCTGTGCATTTCTTCTAATATAGATGGCGCTACATAAGTAAAACCCTGTAGATGAGAGAGAATACAAGAAATGGTATTATTTTTTGATAATTTTTAATTAATTAATAAATTTTTTTGCAATATTCAAGATACAGGGTGTGATAAAAAAACTGCAACAAAGTCAAATGCCATAATTTAAATTTTTTTTTATTTTATTTTAGAATAAGTTTAGATTTATTCGAATTGGTCACCTTTGGCATGAATTATGGCCTTCAAACGGCCAATGAAACCGTCACACGCTGCCCGAATGTTGCTCTGCGGTATTTTGGCCCATTCCCGGCGAAGGGGCTTGCTTGAAGTGTTCGACACTTTGGTATTTTTTAGTGCCAAACTTGCTTATCAAAATACTCCAGACACAATAGTCCAACGCATTGGTATCCGGAGATTTTGGTGGCCATTGTGCGTTGGAAATGAATCCAGGAACCTCATTTTGTAACCATTCTTGGGTGGCGCGTGCTTAGTGCGATGGTGCTGAGTCCTGTTGAAATATCCAAGGTCTGCGGCCAAAATGTTTGTGTACCCATGGCTTTAATACGTCCTCCAGAATATTTTCGCGATAATATTCGTAATTTATTCTGATGCCACGGTCGATTAATACGAGCGGAAAGCGATCATCGGCTGTTATGGCGGTCCACACCATCGCCATGGCCGGCGCTTGAGTTCTGGTGGCCAACCGAAAGTGCACTTTTTCAGCTGACCTCTTTGGCAAGTAAAAAGGATCATTTTGTTTGTTTACAAACTGCTGGACAACGAATGTTTTCTCATCGGAGACGGAGCAAACCAAATTCGGCAGTTCACCACTTTCGGTTAAGAGAAACAACTTTTTAGCTCTTCTGAGTCTATTTTCTTTCTGTTGCGTTGTGAGTGCTTGCACTTTTTGGAATTTCAATGGCTTTTCCCCGAGCTCATTTTTTTAATATTTGCCGAATGGAATAATGCGATATGTTCAGCACACGAGCCATTTTTCGGCCACTGCGACGCGGATTTCGTTCAAGTCGCTTCTTCACTTTTCGAACCATTTCTGCTGATGTTGCAGTTTTTTTCCGTCCGCTTTCTTGACGTCGGACCAGTGTCACGGCAACGAGCAATGGTACGAGACACAAAAGATTTATTCACATTTAAATACTGGATTGTTCTAACGATAGCCACTTATGGTTTTCCAGCCAAATATAGAGTAATCACACTATCACGCTTGAATTCCATCACGAATAACTTTTTTTCTGGAAAATTCTCAACAAAATGCTTTTGTATGCTTGGTAACAATATAATGAGCTGTCACTGGAATAATTTTAACAGTTGTCGGACGATGACGATGATGACAGCAGTCTGAAGTTGGTTGCAGTTTTTTTTTATCTCACCCTGTACTATTTATTGATTAAAAATTTAATAACTTGTTCCAAATCCCCATATAAACCTTTATAATTCTATTCATTTTAGGAAAAACAAAACAAAATTATATATTCTTCTTAATTAATCACACATTTGATATAACAAATTGACCAATTATTAATACTAAATTAATAATTACATGATATATCAGCTCTCAATTGCTGAAGTAGTTTTTATGTGTATGAACGTGTATGTGCGCTATTGTTTTTTTGTCTGCGAGTATCGAAATTTCAACTCAAGCGTAAGCCTTGAGTTATTAATTCAAAAACCCCCAAAAACAAACACACTTGAACAATCGCTCCACGCAGCTACAACCAAAGTTTTTAACTCAAGGTAATTAAAACCTAACCCCAACACAAAAAACAAAAATAGAAATAAAGTCAACCAATAGCCAGGGCTTAACAAAGATCAAAAAAGAAGAGGAAAACTGATAAGACACTTAAATTATTATGGTTTCAATGTATAACAGAAAAATTACAAATGTAATTTTGTAGTTAACACGAAGGTCTTGTTATTTTAGAAATATTAATTGATTTTTTGGAGGCAAAATGCTTTAAAAAATGGAGGTCCTTTTTAAGATTCTTATAGACAAATGAAATTTCTAGTGTCTTTAGTATAGTCTTTCTTTTTGGACGACTTCCTGCGCGGTCATCTCAAAGATCTTCTCTCAGTAGAAGGTCTTGTATTGTTCTTCTTTATTAAAATACTCATTTAGAGAACTTCGAAAATAATATCGAAAATAAAGACATTTTGAAATTTTGGAATTAATAAGGCCCTATGTCGCCTATTTAATTTCAACATTTGAACACTTTTAAAGAAAATAGTCCAATACCAGTAATTTCTAAATTAGCGAGGCGACTAGTATGGAACCCTAAATTATAATTTATATACATGTCTGGAGACTATCCAACACTGGGGTATATTGCGACGATCACTGCTCAAGTTTTGCAGTTTGCAACGAAGCCTTGCGTAAACCTCGGAGGCTTGGCGAATAACACACTTGATTGCCTAGCTCGTTTTGGATTTAAAAATCGATTTTAAAAACAACAATAAAACTCTGCAATAATTTGATGGGTTAATAACTAGAACTAGAAATAATCCTAGAAAGCTCGGAGGAACCCATCAATTAACTGGAAAGAGTGCATCGAGCAGCTGATAAAGAAAAAGTATTTTGTAGGTTGTAGACTCATTCTCCATAACTGATAATTCAGGGTTTCAATATTGACCCACTATATTGTAAAACGTAATTGGATATAGTTTGGCACTTCGGGTTCTTATTAGTCATAAACTCATGTACCACATGAATGGACTGCAACTCAGTATATATATTATATATAAGGTGTATCAGGCTGATATTCTGTCAGGGGTTGACTAGAACAAAGCTCAGGGTTGACCAGAACAAATCGGTCCTAAAATTAGTATAAAAATTAGTATTAGTATAAAGTTAGTATAAAAAACCAAAGCCGCTTAAAACGTGGAAGGAAACATCAAAATACCCAATACTGAGATGTACAGGGTGAGATTAAAAAACTGCAACCAACTTCAGACTGCTCTCATTTCTTAGCCACTCGTCCGACAGCTCTTAAAATTATTCCAGTGACAGCTCATTATATTGTTTGCAAGCGTACAAAAGTATTTTGATGAGAATTTTCCAGAAAAAAGTTATTCGTGTTATTCGTCATTCAAGCGTGTTAGTGTGATTTCTTTATATTCGGTTGGAAAACCACAAGTGACTATCGTTAGAGCACTCCAGCCTTTAAATGTGAATAAGTCTATTGTGTCTCGTATCATCGATTGTTACCGTGATACTGGCAGTGTAGCCCGACGTCAAGGAAGTGGGCGGAAGAAAACAGCAACATCAGCAGAAATGGTTCAAGAAGTAAAGAAGCGACTTGATCGAAACCCGAGTCGCAGTGGCCGAAAAATGGCTCGTGAGCGTGAGCATATCACAATATTCCATTTGACAATTATTGAAAAATGAGCTCGGGGTAAAGCCATTGAAATTCCAAAAAGTGCAAGAACTTACACCGCAACAGAAAGAAAATAGACTCAAAAGAGCTAAAGAGTTGCTTCGCTTGGCCGAAAGTGGCGAACTGACGAATTTGGTTTCTTCCGATGAGAAAACATTCGTTGTCCAGCAGTTTGTAAACAAACAAAATAATCGTGTTTACTTGCCAAAGAGGTCAGCTGAAAATATGCACCTTCGGTTGGCCACCAGAACTCAAGCGCCGGCCATTGTGATGGTGTGGGCCGCCATAACAGCCGATGGTCGCTCTCCGCTCGTATTAATCGACCGTGGCATCAGAATAAATGCCGAATATTATCGCCTTGGGCATGCAAACATTTTGGCCACAGACTTTGGACATTCCAACAGGACTCAGCACCATCGCACTCAGCACGCGCCACATAAGAATGGTTGCGAAATGAGGTTCTTTGCTTCATTTCCAGCGCACAATGGCCACCAAAATCTCCGGATACCAATCCGTTGGACTATTGTGTCTGGAGTAATTTGGAAAGCAAGGTTGGCACTAAAAATACCAAAGTGTCGATCACTTCAAGCAAGCGCTTCGCCGGGTATGGACCATAATCCCGCAGAGCAACATTCGGGTAGCGCGTGACGGTTTCATTGGCCGTTTTAAGGCCATAATTCGTGCCAAAGGTGACCAATTCGAACAAATCTAACTTAAAACTTAACTTAAACTTATTCTAAAATTTTATGCTATTTCCGACATCTTTTGCATTGATTCAATAAAATTAAAAAAAAATTATTGCATTTGACTTTGTTGCAGTTTTTATACCCTCCACCATACTATGGAGTGTATATTAACTTTGTCATTCCGTTTGTAACTCTTCAGACTCAACAAAGTGTATATATTCTTGATCAGCGTAAGTCGATTTAGCGATGTCCGCCTGTCTGCCTGTTGTAAACACGCTATCTTTCGAGTGAATACAGATAGAAGGCTAAATTTTGCACATATGTTTATTTTACCAGTACGCAGGTTAAATTTGTAAATGGGCCATGTAAGTCCACGTTTTCATATAGCCTCATATAACGGTACCTCCCTATATTAGGTATTTTGATGATTTTAGCGACATTATTAAACGGAATTGTTTCAAATTTGGTATTTGAAGTTCGTAATGGATACTACAGCCTTTGACAGAAAATTGTCTGTGCAGGTCCACGTCTTCGTATAGTGTCCATATAACGTTACCCCCGATATTCGGTATTTTGTTGATTTTAGCGACATTATTTAACGGAATTGTTTCAAATTTGGTATCTGAAGTTCGTAATGGATGCTACAGCCTTTGACAGAAAATTGTCTGTGCAGGTCCACGTCTTCGTATAGTGTCCATATAACGTTACCCCCCGATATTCGGTATTTGTTGATTTTAGCGACATTATTTAACGGAATTGTTTCAAATTTGGTATCTGAAGTTCGTAATGGATGCTACAGCCTATGAAAAATTTTTCTGTGCGGGTCCACGTTTTGGTATAACCCCCATGGTACCTCCATATATTTGGTATTTTCATGATTTTAGCCACATTATAAACAAAATTTTTTTCAAATTTCGCATTTGAATATTGTAATAGCTTTTATGACAAAAGTTGAATATGCAGGTTCAGGCAATTCCGTAAAAAAATGTCGTCGTACTTGTATCAATCAATAATATGTTAATAACCTCTATAATTTGTGGAGGGGAGGATTTATAAATTGGAAAAAGTAATGATAAAAACTACATTACAATACAAAATAAAAACTACATTTATGGATTAAATTTTACAGGTATTGAGAAACATGAAATTGATGGGACTGCTATTAATGGAATTTATCTGGGGGTTTTATAAAGTTAAAATTATTCGTAAACATCTTTCCTGGTTAAAGAAAAGTTGGACGTGTTTCTATATATTAAAGACCATCTAAACATAGAAAAATTCAAAAAGCATTTTATACCACGAATCAAGCCTTCCTTTGAAAAAAATCTATAACCAGTATTATTTAAAAAATAACAATATTTAAGATTATAGATTTAGATTTATTTATAGAAAAAATTGCAGGTCATTTGTGGATTTTTTATTTCTCCTTTCCCTAACGTTTTAAATTGACCCACATAACTAAATTATGACGAGTTGAAGTTCATACCAATTTTAATAAGTTCCTGGTACACAAAATTCCACATTAATTTTTATTCATAACAATAACAATAAAAAGATGTCACCTGTTGAGAAACTCTTCATTTGTTATGTGAGCTACTATTCCCAGAGATAATAAATTACCATCCTTCATTGGTGTAAAAAGCGTGTAAAGAAATTAAATTCAGTCGCACAAAGGCTGACTAACAGACAAGTGTTGCTCTGGGTGCATAGCCACAATTTTAATTAACGGTGCTAAACCTGAATAACAATCATCGAAAGAAGAAATTAAACAAAAAAAAAAAAAAACACAAAAAAAAAAACTAGACGAAAAGTTTAACCGAAATGGGTAATATACACAAATAATTTACATAATCGTGAGGCATGGAAGTGTTATAAACCAAAGCACCGACAATTGGCAACCAAAAACCCAGTGGCAATCAAATAAATTCCCATGATTTGGAAAAAAAAAATAAAAAGAACACTCATTCCAATTGGGTTTCACATTCGAAACACTTTTTTTGCAAAAAGAGGCAGAGAGAGAAAGACATGAATGATAGCCTAGTGCAATGCAACAACCATTCATCCAGCCAACGATCCATTAACCAGCCATGATGGTGTGTTTCTTCAGTTAGACAATGGAATTTATCTGTTTTTCTTTAACGGCTTTTGTGTGAAATGCAACCAACGGTGTGGCTCAAAAGAAAATATGGTAGTACTACCAACGAAAACGTTGTCACAACATAAACGCCGAAGACGGCTTTGAAAGAAACAAACAAAAAAAATGCTGTTAATTTTTGTTTTCGAAACACGAGAGAGAAAGAGGTTCATGGCTAATAAAATCCGATCCATCACTTTAGTTGGGCATTTGTTTTCAAGGTGGTCGGTTCGTGTCGGATACGTGCGTTCAATAAATCGGTAGCAGTGCGCGCATGAGCTGTAATAGACAATTTACAAAATATAACGGATTAACTTCCATTGATAAATAAATAATAAACAAAAATATTAAGAAAAGACACGAAGGTTCGCAGCAAGCTACCGCTCAAATATTGCAACAACAACAACAGCAACACCAAAAGCTTTAAAAGAAAACAAAACTTAACAAACTAGCATGTGCTGTTGAAGAGGGTAAAAACCTGGACTTTTTGAGCAAAAAATAATCATTTTAATCAATAAGAGAACAAGAGAAAGAGAGAGGGAGTCAGAAGAGTGTAACAGAGAGCGATTTTTCTTTTTGGCCAAAAAACAACAACTGCAAAGAAAGAGGTCGTCTTGGAACGTGAGTTTAAGAATATGCGCCACCATAATCGAGCTGAAAGAAAAAACTTTCCACAATATGGGACAAGCTAAACAAAAGCCAACAAAAGAATTTTTGTTGTATTTTTAGCTTTTGGTAACAAAACAAAAAAATGGCCTATAACAAGTTTATTCGAAAGTGCAATTTCTTTTCACACAACCAAAAAAAAAAACACCCGAGCAAAACTCAGACAAGATCTAAACCTCATAACCACCACCACCACACCTACTGCTTCTTGTTTTTTTTTTTATTTTTCTTGGCTGAAACACAGACAAAATCAAGGGGTCTTGTTTTTATTTTCAAGCCGGATCACCACAAATAAATTGGATGGCATTATTTCAGCTGGCGGTGATTTGATTTCAAATAAACAATGGAACAGAGCTGTTTCTTTGATGATTTTCGGATGTTATGACAAAATAGGCATCATTCGATGTTAATGAAGACATCTATTATATAATCGTCTTACAGCAACAAATGGTCACATAAACAAATCATTTGTTTTTTGGTTAAAGATCATAATCATCATCAACATAAAATTATTATAAAACAAACAAAAAAACGGGAAATTTGTTTTCGGCACTTTTAAAGAAATATAAAAATACACCTATGTCTCGTTTTATGTTGTTGGATTAGAGAAGAAAACAGCCGACCTTCTTGATTAGATTAGATTTTTAATCTGATACGAAATTTTAGGTACTTGTACAATGCAGCCATAGATTTACAGAAGAAGAAACAGAAACGAGCACTCGCTATGCGAGTGTCCAATGATTTTCAATAGAAGACTTAGGCTAAGGGGAGAGCAAAGAATCCACGATCTGAACTCCTTTCTGTTTGGCTTTCTTCAATCTAATATTTTCTTCTCTCTTCAAAGCCCTCTCTTTCAGAATGGACACAATGGGTCTCTAAGGGGAGTAGTTGCCATATGATGCAATTAGGCGTCCTAGCCTTATTGAAATTTGTTAGATGAATGCTTGAAACTCGTTGGAGATAATGATAACGATATAATCACATAGCGACGATACTGAAAAAATGACCTAGGTTACGTTAAATGACTCGCAGTTGTCTGAGACCTCGGAGACCTGATAATCCAATGTGTTCATTCTAAAATTAAGGAAAGAGAAAAACAGAAACAAGTAAAAAAGCAATTAAGTTCGGCCGGACCGGACTTTTTATACCCTCCACCATTCGGAAGGATCTTGAAATTTTTCAAGAAAAAAAGGTTCTAAAAATACCGCTCAAAGAAAAAACATTCATATAAGTGCTATGCGAAGTAGTGGTGGTGAATAAGTAATTTTTTGTCCTAGACGGAAGTAGCGATTCCGAATTTCAAATACGAAATTCGAAACAATTCCGGTGAATAAAGTCGCTAATATCATCAAAATATCGAATAAAGGGAGGTACCCGTTGTATGGGTGCTATACCAAGACGTGGGCCGGCATAGACAATTTTCCGTCATAGATTGTAGTACCCACTACGAACTTCAAATACGAAATTTAACGCAATGCCGGTGAATAATGTCGCGAAAATCCTGGAAATACCGAATATCTTGGGGTATCGTTATATGGGAGCTATACCAAAACGTCGACCTATATAGACAATTCTCTTCCAGGGGGTCAAGTATTCAGAGGGAACTCCTTGTGTGGATTTTCAAACTATTCCATTGCACCATTACATGGGGGCTACACTATATCGTGAACATATAAAGAAAATTCTCTTTCAGGGGGTAAAGTACTCACAGAGAACTCCTTGTGTGAATTTTCAGACAATTCTATTGAAAAACGTGGCTACAATTATAAAATACCGAATATCGGAAGGTACCGTTATATGGGGGATATACGATATTTTGGACATCTATAAACAATTCATTCTAAGGAGTCTCGAAGAACTCCTTTTGTAGAACTTCAGACAATTTCATTGAAAAAATGTGGCTAAAATCATGAAAATACCGAATATTGGGAGCTACCGTTACATGGGAGATATTCGATATAGTGGATCTATAAATACAATTCTTTCTCAGGAGGTAAAGTAGGCACAAAGAACCCCTTGACTCCAGACAATTCCATTGAAAAATGTGGTTAAAAATACCGAATATCGGGGGTACCGTTACATCTTCGAACTTGACCTGCATGCTGACAAAAGAGTGATCTGTGCAAAATATTAGCTTCCTATCTTTATTGCTTCGATGAGTTACAAACGAAATGACGAACTTAATATACCCTCCATACTATGTATGGGGGAGGGTATAAAAAGAAAAGGAAAAGTAATTTTGTCTTCTGGCCAACTAAAGAATAACTGTTAGTTCTGTATCGGAGAATGAGGACAGACCGTGTATAATTTGCTTCCCCAGTGCCCTGTGATGGTTCCCACCACAAGTCCTAGGTAGTTTTGAAGATGAGCAAACATTCGAGACATTACATCCCCCTTTCATTTAGCCATTTTTTAATCTTCCTGAATAATGTATACACTCGAAAGAAGTGGCACAGGAGTGGCCTCAACGAGTTGTCGACCGACTGACTCCATGCCTTGCCAATTTCCCATTATTCCCAGAAATGTTAATGAGCCCAACAAAGCTTGATGGCGACATAACTTTTACCAATGCATTCCACTCCAAAGTTGCCACAGATTGAATGGTAAATGCATATACCGACTTCAGGGCCGCTTGACTATCGATGTATATAGTCACCTTATCATTAAGTTCACTATTTCTGTTTCCCAACAGATCTATTGACCTCTTCTTACAGGAGGAGGTTTCCTACCAGAATAAACATATAAACACTGTTGAATTCGGCCACGCCGAATTACGCTATTTAGAAAGTTACACTTCTGAAAATATCTCTATTAATCACTAGGTCAGTTTACGACCAGAGGGGATGCTTCCTATTATGATACTCAAATATGTGTATAAAATTATAAAAATTCAATATATCTGGAGTTTCCGTTACATGAGGCTTTGCCAAAACGTAGGTCTGATTGGAAAGTCTCCTGTAATGAGGCATGTTTATCCATTAACAACTCTAAATTTCAAATCTAAATCAATTCGATTGAAAAATGTGGTTTAAATTGTCAAAATGCGGAATGTCTGAAAGTACCATAATTATATGGGGGCTACAGAAAAATGTGAACTCACGTAGAAACTTTTTTGCCAAATATTGCAGTGTTAGTTTAGAAATTAACTATCAAACTTCAAATAATTCCGTTTGAAAATGTGCCGAAAATCATCCAAATACCGAATATCGGAATGTACCCTTATATGGAGGGCTATAAGAAACCATAGACGCTATAAAACTTTTCTGGAAGACCAAATTTTAAACAATTCTGTTAAAAAATTTGTCTTAAATCATTAAAATATTGAATATCGGGGTGCACTTTTCTATGAAGGCTTTACGAAAACTTACACCTTCTGTACTACGTACGGTATAGGATATTAAACCATATATAAAATGTAATGCCGCTCAAAAGAAATAGGCCCAAATCTTATTTTGTAAACCAGTAAAACGAAATGATTTAAAACCTAATAACTAAAAATATATGATTTTTAACAGTTCCGTGCCAATAATTAACTATAAAAAGCAATTGCCAGCAATGCATAGTTGATTACGTTTTACAAAACCCCATAAAAAAGGATATTATCAAGCAAAATATGTCTGCAATATCAGACGACACTTGTCAACGAAGTCTTTGCTTTAACACTAATAACAACAACAGCAGCAACAACAAAAAGAAAAAACGCCTTCAATATTGCCACCAGTTTCCACTACTTTCATGCCAACAACAAATATGCAGCAATGCTGTTCGGTTTGCAAGAAATGGTAAAAGTTATGACAACAGCAGTAATAGCAAAAGAAACGGCAACAACATTAGATGGTGCTTGGGTTGGTGGTGTCTATTAGCCACACACTTGTTCATTGCCAATCCAGCGTTTGCACAGCCGCCACCACCACCAACACCTCTTGAGGAGGGTCTATATCTGCAGCAGCAGCAAAATCAGCATCAGCAGCAGCAGCCGCAGCTCACCAATGCCAATAACATTTACAAGATCTATAACAGAGATACAATTGTCCAACAATCCACTGAAAACTTGGCCAACGAAAATCTAACATCACCACAAAATAAAGGACGTCGACAATATGCGGCAGCATTGCAAGATAATGATAAAGAAGTAGGTATGATTCGGTATCCATGCATTCAAGTGTTTATGAACAAAATTTTAATTTAAATACATTAATCTGCAAAGCAACAACAACAACAAGAAAGAAATAACACAAAAAAGCATTGCGTGAAAGTGAAATTTATTTTGATTTTCGTCGTCGTTACTCTTCTGTTGACCATTCAGTTAGCCAGCAGGCCAACTAACCACCAACCAACCAGTCACTCAGTCATCCGTCCACACAATATGCATGACAGTATTTTTATTATGATTATTTTTCGGGTTTTATTTGAGGTGCTCTTTTTTTCACATTACAAATACAACGACTTGTTAATTGATGTCCATAAATAGAGCTAAACACAAAATCAGACCAAGTAAATTATAATTTAGAAACAAGTTTTGTTTCTTTTTCAAATATTGTTTCTTCTTTCAAGTTGTGCAGTGTGAAATTGAAAATAGGTCAAGCAAACGTTTCCAAATGTACATACATATGTGCTGTAATCGTATTTAAGAAACAAACAATGTTGACCCAAACAAGTAAAAAAAAAAATAATTATGAAATGTATTATTAAATAATTGCAACTTTAATTACCAATTGTTTGGATTTAATGAAAGAAATAAGATTTAATTAAAATTATCAATTATCTTTGGCCCCAATGCAAGACCTTAAACTTTTATCTTTTATCATGGGGAGATCAAATGTTAACATTATCCTTTTGGAAACTCAACATTAGTACTTTTGCAAAGTTCCACAACAACAGGATATCTTTAGCAACTTTTTACACTCTACTGTGAGGAGTTGGTATGATAGTCTTCTTAAACGGCCTCTCGTCCATTAAAATATTAAAGCAATTAAAAATGCTATGTGATGCATAAATTACAAAGCATTAGTCACAGAGACCGTGAGTCGTACATTTCGAAAAAGCTGTTGCAACTACTTGAATTTGTAAAACGAAACTTGACAATGTAAAAAATTGCGCCCATTCAGACATCTTCAAATTTATCAGACATTTGAAAAGGGGAGCATATATCCTTCTACGTTTACATATTAATCCTTTCATTGACCAAAACTGTATTCTAAGTGCAGGATCTATGAATGATTCAATTAATAGCCAATCAGAACTTCCTTAGCTAGGGCTTCTCACAAGTAAATAGGAATGTCTTGAAACGCTAAAAATACCGAATATCAGGAGGTTATATAACATGTTTAAAATATTGAAAGATACTCTTATATAAAAGGTGGACCGATTGATTTGTCTTCGAATTTGATTTCAGGTGAGATCAAATATAAATTTCAGCTATTTCAACGCCAAATTTAGAGCAAAAACAAGTGAAAAACATTAAGATTGGCCGGGCCGAACTTTAAATACCCTCCACCTTTGGGTAAAGAAAACGTTGTAATATAAAAGTATGTGAATTCAAACGTGTTCCACTTTAAACTACACATACCAGTAACAACGCTTGGATAATGGTGGTCAACTTAAAAAAAACCCCTAATGTAGGTGAGCCCGTTGTTTGAGGGCCACACCAAAACGGGAGCCTCAATAGACATTTTTATATTTCAAGGATTATCACCTACCAAATCTCTTTAATACCAAGTTTAAAACAATTTCGTTTGCAAATATGACTAGAATTAGGAAAATACCGAATATCGGTGGTAGACCTAAATATTCAATTTTCTGCCACCGGAGCTAGAACCCATTATGACCTACATATACCAATTTTTACCGTGGAAAAAATAATCAAAATACCAAATTTCAGGAGGTAACGTTATATGGGGGCTATACATAAAAGTGGGCCTATATATACTATGTAATAAAATGTTTTCGACACATTTTTTAAGAATTTGTCTAGAAATTGGTATTTATAGTTCGCAATAGATTCTAGCTCCAGTGGCGGAACATAGTATACATTGGTCCACTTTTTTCATAAAAATAACGAATATCGGGATGTTCCGTTATATGGCGACTATACTAAAATGTAGACTGATATAGGTCATTTTCAATACCAACCATCCTGGACACAATACAAATTGTTCTGCCCAATTTTTAGGATCTACGTCAAATAATGTGGACTGTATCGCGATTTTAACAGACAGACGGACGTCGTTAAATAGACTTAGAATTTTATGCTGATATGAATATACTTTATGGGACCTATGACGAATTTCTAGGGGCGTTACAAAAGGAATGACAAAGTTAAAGGTGGAGGGTATAAAAAATCACCCAAATACCAAATAAAGGCTGGTACCGTTGTGTGAGAGCTATACGAAAAAGTTAAGACCATACGACTCATCTTCGAATTTAATATAAATTTTAGTTCCCTATCACAATTTCTAAAGACGATAGCGTGATTACAACAGAGAGAGTGAGTTCCATAAATATTTCGGGAGATTCAGATTAATATACCCTCATATGACGGCAGATATTTAAAAATGATAAAACAGGCAATAATATATTTTTTTAATTCAATATTTCAGACCATTTGACATGAGAATGTGTCTAGGGTCCTACAAAATACCAAATATTCCAAAAACAGGAGTTAAAATCCAAAAAAGACTTCAAAATATGAAGTTACAATAACTTCGCTGGGAAAATGCATCAAGGACTTCAGGGCTTTGTCAAAACGGTGAACTACATTCAATTTTTAGCTCGGCAAACTGTAGCTAAATCCGAAGAGATGCAATTTTTTTGAGATACAAATAAAATATTTTCAAGGGTCAGACCTGGTTAAAGCTTCTTAGAATGTTATGCATTTTTAATGAGGCACGACTATTTAAAAAGATAGACGTTATGGACCATAAATTAAAAAATACATATATCTTTCAATTTTATTCCCTTCATTAGTGGAACGCCTTATCAGGCAATGGGCACCTGTGGTATGGCTGGCGCCTGAAGAGAAATTCATGCCGCTGGGAGTAGAGGAATTCTTGGCCCATGTGCATCCCGAGAGCAAGGACAACTCATTCACACCGGGTATATCATTTGGAGAGAATTCTGAGAAATCATATTTGGTGACAAATGCAGAAATTGGTGGGTATTAAACAGCGGCAACATTACAATAAATATCCAACACTCATTACATTCCCCATTTTCAGATCAACTGCTGGAAAATGAAACATCATTTATATATGGACGTAATCCAAATGTATCACCAGTACCCATATATGCTGTGGTCACATTGTGCAATACGGAACAATTGCCTTTGCCGCAATCACCCAATAACAATCAAAACATAAATGTACAACAGCTACCCATAAACTATGCTCCGCCAGTTCTTCCTCCGGGACCACCCTCGGTTCCCTTAGCTGTAGTGCAACAACAACAACAAAGATATGCTCCACCACATCCCCTAGAAATAACTAAAGCCACACGTGGACCTTATATCCCCGTTACCTTGGGACCACAAGATCAATTTAATAACACCATAAGGCGTTCTTCCCGTCTCTATCCCCTTTTCAAGCGGACAAGGCGTAATATTACTCCGGTATATCCCAACAATTTGGCCACACCGCAGTTACCAATTACACCATTTGATTTGGTAATGGGAGAAAGTGCACCAGTACCAGAACTATTAACAGCCACAATGCCGCCAACAAGAGATTCCGATACCACTGATGACACAGAGAATGTTAACAATTTTATTGCCAATTTATCGGATAATGTTAAATTCAGCATACCCTTTAATGACCAGGAGAATATTTTGGACAATGAAAATAAGCAACAAACATTTGCCTATAGGGAAGGTACACCGGTGCCATCCTTTCATGTTACATACTGGATGTTTTATCCATATAGCCAGGGGAAAAATATGTGCACCTTGAAATTGGGACCATTTGGTCGTATACCATTTCCGGCCGTCTATGGCTATTGTTTGGGACGCAAAAAGGATATTGGCAGTCACATTGGGGACTGGGAGCATATGACGTTGTATTTTACGGGAGCTGCGGAGCCTGAGGCCATGTATGTCTCGGCTCATGATGCAGGGGCCTACTACACATATAATCGTCTGACAGGTTCGTTTGAATTCAAAAGACAAGAGACGAGAAAGGGTATCTTGCAAAGGCCGAATTTTCCCAAAACGGTGACAACTTTTAATGATCATCCTGTGCTGTTTGCCGCAAAGGTAAAATGAGACAATTTGGATAAAATAATTATTGTAAAATCTAATTCCATTCCGTAGGGTTCTCATGGTCTATGGACTGCGCCAGGCAAACATCGCTTTGTCAAGGTGGCTCGTTTGTATGACATAAATGGCTTTGGTACACCTTGGAATACATGGAAAAGTGTAACAATCACCTATGAAAATTTGAAATCATATGGTATGCTCATGATCTTTGTATAATGGTTTATGATTATTACTTTCGATTTTTTTAGGACGTTCGTTGGCTCCCACTTGGCTTTCATTCAAAGGCAAGTGGGGTAATCCAAAGAGTAAATGTCATCCCTTGAGACGTATTGGTTTGAACTTTTGCGAGTACACAGACGGACCCACTGGTATACCATTGAAGGAGCCACATTTTCAATGCGGTGCCTCCTATAGACGATAACGACATGAAGTTTATGTTTTAAGGAGTATAACAGTATTTCAATTTGTTACTGCATAAGTTTTGGGTGGTATTTATTTACTCTAGACAATTACTATTATATTGTTCAACTGTTCTGTTATTTGGAAAATTGTTGATAATAAAAACACTATTTTTATACATTTTTTATAAATTATAAAGGATCATTATTTTAAGAAGTTTTGAAGTGTACAGTGAATTGAAGTTTTCCATAAATGTATAATTGATTACCGACTTTATACAAGAAGTGATGAAAAGAGATTATGACTGACAAATCATTTGCATTTCACTTCAGTTCTTTGGTAGCCAACAATTACGCTGAAGTGAAATCACTCTCTATTCTTAGTTACGCTCTGGACAATGCTATTTATTTTAGTATAGCCTTGGGAATCAAGAGAATATAGTCGTCAAGGTAAGTAATTCAAATAAACAATTTGAAATATCGTTAAGCTGACCGAACTAAACTTTCTTTAACGTTTGCCATTTGGAAAACTGAAATTTTACACAAATGGTTTAAAAATTTAGCTGAAATATTTTAAGTTAACGTAACTACTCTTTAGTTCGAAGTCACTCTATGGGCATATGTCAAAACGTTGACATATTGGAATATCGAGAGACATATTCGCCATTACTAGATCGAATTTAGGTAGGGTAATATAAAATCGTTTGAGTTTTATATGAGAAAGCTACGAAAGTTTACTCTTAACTCCCTCAAATGTAAGAATTGAAGTCAAATAGTAGATCTTGCCAAAAAAAAAAAAAGAAAAAACAAATCATCTTTCAGCTGGTGCTGGTGAGGACAACTTGGCATCCTCAGTCAGACACAAGTACGAAGTTTACTTCCACCTCAACAAAAATAATTTTTAGATCGAACTCGGATATTCAGAGTCGTCTGCAATGCTCTGAGACTGAATCTAATAGGCGATAGTGTAAACAGACAGCGGATAACAATCCGACAAATCATTACGGATATCGACCGTTAAAGCTGATAACATGGTAGTTCATGATCTGACTGATAAATAAGTACGTATGGCTCTCTATCGATCTGGTACATTATCTAGCACCAAATTAAAAAAATCAGTCATCTGAATAGACTGTAGTAATGAATCATCCGAATTTGGGTAGGTTTGGCAGAACTATTAAATGATTCAGTATATGGATAGTATAGTCTATCTACCATATCAGCCCCAACCAAGATAAAAGGCAGATGTTAAACAGTCTCGGAAATATCAACTACCCTTCTTGGGGTTTGAACTTTCTATATCAGAATTAAACGCGCCACTGGCATCCAAACTTAGACAACTGTAGATTATTTCAATATACTTCAAATGTAACAGTATCGTTACATTGGAGCGTTACTGAAAAGTAACAGCATACTTTGGCAACACAAATGTTGACAGCTCTATTATCATGCTACCAACAGAGATTTTTAATCGTCTTAGAATTTTTCTCTGATCTAGAGTTTACAATTTCATGCCAATGTAAGATCAGTTGACCTTTTTAGGGCAGAAGAATGCACGAAATGAAGCCCTTCTTAATAAATGTAAACAAGTCGAACTGCACTTACTTGGAAAATTAAATTGACACTTTCACTAAGGGTTGTTTCATCTGGAGAATCAACTGGTATTTGTTTTGTAAATCTGGTATCAAATTGTGACACATCGTCTTCGCTGCGCTGTTTTTGTGAAAAAAAGAAAAAATACATAAAAATTTCAATATTTCTTGAATTACTCATCTCATCTATGACAAAAACATACCAATAATGGTTTAATTGGAGGGTCTAAACGTCTAGCCAATACATCATCCCAGTTGACATGTTTGAAGAAGGGATGTGCTTGGACGGCAGCAGCATCTTCGGGTCCACTGCCCAAACGTTGTGACTCTTGTCGTTTCATCAAACGACGCACTAAATCTCTAGCTTCTGGCGTTAGATAAGCAGGCAAATTTAGTTTGGCTTTTAAAATAGTCTCTATTGTCTTCTTGCGATCCTCAGCTGTGAAGGGTGGCTGTAAAGTAGGTGAATAAAATCCATTATTAATAAACATAAAAGAAAGATATGAAAAACATTTGAACGCATTTTGATGCCTCAAATTTATCAATAAAATCACACAGAAGGCATGATTGTGTAGATTGAATTTGTTAAGAATATTCTCATTAAGTTCTAGCCATTGTCTAGATAAAAAATACTTACAACACCAGTTAACATATCAAACATAAGAGCACCCAATGACCACCAATCGACAGCTTTGCCATGACCTCGGCGAGTCAGAATTTCTGGTGCCCTACAATTTGACAAATTTAAAATGAAATATAAGAAATAAAAACATTTTTCTCTGTCTCTCTCTCAATGTAGATCCACTTACATGTATTCAATGGTGCCACAGAATGTGTGTGTTACAATGCCCTCTTGAATGTGCTCTTTACAAAGGCCAAAATCTGTTAATTTCACATGACCTTGGGCATCCAACAGAATGTTTTCAGGTTTTAAGTCACGATATATAATTCCCAATTTATGCAAATGACCCAAAGCCATAATGATTTCACTTAAATAAAAGCTGTAAAAAAATCAAAAAGCGTTACTAGAGAACATTGAAAATGCAATTGAATTGTTGCTTACCATGTGGTATCTTCTAGGAAAATACCCTCACGTTCTAAATGCATAAATAATTCGCCACCGCTTAAATATTCTAGAATCAAATATAATTTGCCGTCTGTTTGGAAAGCATAGACTAATTCGACAATAAATGGATGTTTGACAGCCTCAAGGATATTGCGTTCGGCACGCGTGTGTGCCGTATCCTTTTGATTTGTGACTATGGATGCTTTTTTCAAGACTTTCATGGCGAAATATTTGTTAGCATCACGACCAGATGTTTTACGGACCTGTGAGACAAAAATGTTAGTTTCTTTCTTTTGCATACGACCGAATATCAGATATCGATGTTAGTTGATACTTACTTGAAACACTTTGCCATAGCCACCTTTTCCCAAAACTTTTTTCAGCTCAAAATCTTTTGGTCCGAGTTTTATTTTGCCGGGATTTACATTTTCTTCAGATAGTTGTATAGTCTCTTGTCCCTCGGTTCTGCAATAGAAAGAAATTTGTTGTGTTTTATATGTGTTCCGTATTTCTTTACAAAGTTATGTTGTCTACGTCCCTATCTCTTTACAAATTCACCACCTTAAACTTAAGCTTTCCTTAGAGATTTTGATAGCAGTCCTTCCCTAAACCCTTACTAAAAGAAATCGGACCAAAAGTATGCAACAAAAACCTTAATAAAATATGTAATCAAAATTGAAGCATAGTTGACGCTTGTAAAATAGTTGGTACCCATCTAGAACGTATTTCAGAAACCTCTAAACATAATTTTGCGTTGGTCTCTTTGACCTTAATCAAATTGCCAGGCACATGGTATTTGGCCTATTTATCAAAGACGCATAGATGACAAATGAGGTCCCGGACACGTACGCAGGTTGTGGAAAGCCAGGTTAGCTGCGACTTGAAGCGGTCGCGGACAGTCAGTGGGTCTTAAATACCCGAGTCGCAATGATCCTAAGATTGATGAGGCGATGTTTCGGCGCGCCTAAAATAGCCAATCCTGGGGGTTATGTGACCACGTGCCCATCAGTGTTGCAGGTTGCCAGGATACCGACTGTATTCTAATGTAGATTCGTTGCGCGTCAACGGAATGTCAGGTATAGTTACTGAGTTCTTGCTAAAAAAAAAAAACAAATCCTTCTTCAGTTGACGCTGGTGTGGACGACTTGGCACCCTCAGTCAATAAAGACACAAGTGCGAAGTTTACTTCCACCTCAACAAGAATGACTCTTAGACCGAACTCGGACATTCAGCGTCGTCTGCAATGAACTGACACTGTATAAGCGATGATGTAGCCAGACAGCGGATGACAATCCGACAAATCATTGCGGATATCGGACCGTTAAAGCTGAATCGGGACATAATGCCTAGCAATCAATGTCTGATGAAAAAGAGGACATAGATAATTTAGAAATCCATGAACTGACTTATGAATAAGTACGTATGGCCCTCGATCGACCTGGTACATGCCCGAGCTCCAAATTTAAAAATTCATTTATATGAATGGACTGTGGTAAAAAATCGTTCACAATTTGTGTAGAAATTGTGTAGAAAAGAAAAAAGTCATTGTTAAAGAGTTTCGGAAATCTTCTTCTTGGGGGGTTGAACTTTCTATGTCAGAATTTAACGTACCACTGACATCCAAACTTATATTACATTATCCATCGAAGATAATGTGAAGGTGAAGAAGAGATAGAAAAGAATGACAATATATTCAGCAGATGTGCTGACAAAGGAATGAGGGACAAAGACTATCCGTGGGAAGAGAGTGATGTCACATTTAATTTTGTCTCAAAGTCCTTTGGTTCCAATTAACTTCGTTTCTGATTCATTTCGTTTTGTCGATTCATGATTTTTTTAATGAAATTCAACTCTTCTCCTAGTCTTGTTGTAACTTTCTTCTACTATCCTAACTACAGGGTGAGATGAAAAAACTGCAACCAGAAAAAAGTTATTCGTGATGGAATTCAAGCGTGATAGTGTGATTTCTTTATATTTGGCTAGAAAACCACAATTGGCTAGCGCACTCCAGCATTTAAATATGAATAAATATTTTGTGCCTCGTACCATCCAAATGATTCGGAAGTAAAGAATCGACTTGATCGAAACCCGCGTCACAGTGGCTGAAAAATGGCTCGTGAGCTGAACATATCGCAATATTCCATACGGCAAACATTGAAAGCTGAGCTCGGGGTAAAGCCATTGAAATTCCAAAAAGTGCAAGAACTTACACCGCAACAGATAGAAAATAGACTCAAAAGAGCTAAAGAGTTGCTTCGCTTGGGCGAAAGTGATGAACTGCCGAATTTAGGTTTCTCCATCTCCGCTGAGAAAACATTCGTTGTTCAGCAGTTTGTAAACAAACAAAATGATCGTGTTTACTTGCCAAAGAGGTCAGCTGAAAATGTGGACCTTCGGTTGGCCACCAGAACTTAAGCGCCGCCCATGGTGATGGTGTGGGCCACCAGAACAGCCGATGGTCGCTCTCTGCTCGTATTAATAAATTCCGAATATCGCGAAAATATTCTGGAGAGTGTTTTAAAGCCTTGGGCACCCAAACATTTTGGCCGCAGACTTTGGACATTCCAACAGGACTCAGCACCATCGTACTCAGCACGCGATACCCAAGAATGGTTAGAAAATGAGGTTCCTCGCTTCATTTCCAGCTCACAATGGCCAACAAAATCTCCGGATACCAATCCGTTGGACTATTGTGTGTGGAGTATTTCGGAAAGCAAGGTTTGCACTAAAAAATACCAAAGTGTCGATCTCCTCAGGTAAGCGCTTCGCCGGGAATGGGCCAAAATACCGCGGAGCAACAATCGGGCAGCATGTGACGGTTTCATTGGCCGTTTGAAGGCCATAATTCGTACCAAAGGTGACCAATTCGAACAAATCTAAACTTATTCTAAAATTTGATGCTATTTCCGGCATTTTTTGTTTTCATTCAATAAAATTTAAGAACAAATGCAAAAATTATGGCGTTTGACTTTGTTGCAGTTCTTTTATCTCAGCCTGTATACAACGACCCTCAGATATATTAGTAATTTTTTTCAAGGATACTAAGTTATTTTTGCAAAGAGAGGACCTCTTGAGAGGCAACATATTGCTGATTTACAGAAAAAACCTTAATATCTTCCGATGGCTTACTGGAACCTAGTTTGCATACGTTTTTCATTTAAAGAACGAACATATCGATCTAATGGTGAGAAGGATTAAGTGTAACCACAAGCTTCAGATCAGTTTTAACATGGTTTGATTATCCATATCAACATTTATCCCTGCATTCAAGATGAACAACTACACAGGCTTCGCGATAACAAAATCTCTGCTTGGATTACGTTGCAATTGCTGTCAATCTTGTATGAGGAGAATACGCTCGAACTACCGTAACATCTTCCACCATTTGATGGTGTGCATTTCGACCAGAGGCAGAATGACTTCAATTCATTGGCATACAACGTTTCGGGCTGTCGCTTAAATTACGGATCAAAAGTTACTATTGCATCGTATTCTGGGCGAATCCACCAGTTCAGTTATCTGGAAGCTTAGAAATAGATTTTTATCATTGATTTATTACTGAATATTCGTTCCCAAAATGGAAACTAGTAGGACCAATTCCAAAATCTTCGAGAAAAGTGTACATCCATTATTCAAGCTTAAACGATCCATTCCACATAGCTTATAAGAAAAATCTACACAATCTAAATCTTAATTTATTTTTGTAGACAAATAAATTGTTCACGAAATGAATACCTATACCACAAAGCTCCGGATTTAAATCATGCAGTCATAATCAATAAATGTTATTTTTAATTGCCATTCGTAAATGTTATCTGTATGCGAGTCGGTGTGTTTGTATAAGTCTAATATAGTGCACTTACTCTTGTTGTAAATTTATGCTTAATTCCGGTTCTAGATCAACCTGAAAGAAAGACAAAAAAACAAAGCAAAATAAATTCCATTAGTATGCTGCCGTCTTTGTTTATTAATTAATTTAATTAGAGACTAAAGGAATGGTGTGGGAAATAATTATTAATATTAAAAAAAAAAAAACTTTTGTATGTCCAAGGTATGCATGTATGCATGTAAATAAGTCCAGACCAGACACATTACAAATTGTAAATTTCAATATTTATACGCGCGTGTGTTACAATATAAAGATTTGCGTATTAAATATAAGTAAATGCCAGCTAAGGGCTGTATTATAAATATTATCTAAGTGCCAGTGATAAGAAAACATTAATTTAACAATAATTTATTGTTAAATATATTAACAAAAAATAAATAAATTGCGAGATAAAAAACCAATCCATATTATGATTGGATTTTTTTTTCAAATGAAATCCAATACTCTAATCGTGTATTCCGAATGGTAACAGCGGTGCTGATGTACCAAGCTGGTGGCTGCCTGTCCCCCACTCATCAAGATGATAAACAAAAACTCTTATTAACATACCAATCATAATTTATAGTATTTACAATCTAAATACGATTTTAGACCCACCAATCGATGTGAGGTAACATTATATCGTCGTGTCGACTGATATCAGCAGTAATAATCTCCAATATTAAAAAACTGTGCTGTTCATCGACCATATTTAAATCACATTCTAATCCATAGACAAATTTGTCGAGTTATTTATGGAATTTGTATATCGATACATTGAAATCGTAGGTAGGTGGGTGTCATAATTCATTCCAACAAAGTATTGCAAAAATAGAAAAATATCAGACAGATTAACATTGCATTAGAAAAACATATGTCATTACAACAGCATATTGGGATACATTTTATTGTCGTAAGGATTAACCACTAATACTGTTGCATTTTTGAAAAGAACAATCAAATATGCTCACAGACCATGCAATTATATGTTCTATTGGCATATCGGAAAATAATGGTTAAAAATTTAACTTGATCAAGTTTGGTCAACAGCCTAAAAGTAGAGATGGTTTGGAACCATTTTTAGGATATTTTTCGGTTATCCGCGGGTCACTATACTACAACATGCCACGCGATCACGTTATTATGTGTTCCAAAAATATATTAGTACGTTTACCATATTTTATTAAAATCCTCTGAGGAAAGAACATCAAAACGATTCTAGGACACGCTCTTATATGTTCCAATAATATATGGGTACATCACAATAATAGGTTTAAACGAAACAAACAATTTTCCAGTCAGAAATTTTGAATTGAAATTGGTTCAGACCCAGGGGCTTGGAATGCAGTGAGTGCATTACTAAACTATGCGTTGTTAGAAAGGGGAACAAAATACCTGTAAAATTTTTAAATAATAAAACAATACTTGACCATTTTTAGTCAAAAGCCCAGAATTTGAATTGGATCAGTCTCCAGATCCGAGAAAGGCATAGTTGTGTGACTAGACTATGTTTTTTTTAAAAACTTCACCTTTTAGATATTCCAATAATATATTGTTGTATCATAAAAATCGATTTCAAAATAACCATTGACTATTTTCTGCCAAAAGCCCAAAATTTAAATTGGTTCGGGTTCATGATTAAGGAACGATATGAGTAATTTTTCAGTCAAATGATTGTATCTACTCAATCAAACTCAATGTGAACTGAGCTGGCAGCACCATCTTAATCTGATATTTGCTTATCCACTCGCGGCTTATCCTCTGATGCAATGTATACTTATTGGTGGTCAAGAGGCTAAGAATACTATTTAAATGTAATCGGAAGACCTATTAATTTTGGAGGTAATTTGGGTACGGTTAGGTTAAAGGACGCGCAATTGCCCTATAATAATCACTCCACTCGGACACCTGCTAGTCTATTATGTTCATCCTAATACCAAGAGAAGAGAGAAAGAGAAGAACAGAAAAATAAAGTTTTCTGGCTAACTGCGTCTCCATTCGCTTATATCTAACACCGAAAAGAGTTTTTCATACTCCTCAGCTATGAGGCTCCAGTGTGGTCTGCGGACCATCCAAACGAGGAGGCGAAAGTCCTTCCCTTACGTCAGCATAATCATATGCTTTCGTTGCAGTATCTGCTAAGGTGTTACGGTGAGAGTCATCCGGACCATCATATGGTGAATACAACTCCCCAACCCAAGCGTGTCAGGAAGGACATGCACAATCTAGATAGGTAGGACCTACGCTATAAGTGAGAACCTCTAGATCAAGAAGTCTATCAGGCAGGTCTGAGTGGCACTCATAACGATGCAGTCGCAGATGCCATCAGCAATTTATAGGATGAATGCCGTCATCGGAGTCCATCTCCGTCTGTTGCAGCTGAAGAACGACAGCAACCTAGACAAACCAGGGTAGTTTTGGCGCAATTACCTTCAGGATGGTGTAGTCGTCTCAATTCGTATTGGGCACGAATTGATGAAGATGTGCGTCACGTCTGCCCGGCGTGTGATACAGGCCCCACAATACGCTACACCTCTTTAATTGGGCGGGCAAACCTACCCAACTCACTCCGGAAGATCTCTGGCTACAGCCCGTTAAAGTAGCCGAATTGTTAAAACTGTAGCTTGAACCAGATTAGCAGAATACAAACATTCATATGTACTACTACTACAACAACAACAACCGAAAAGAGTTGGGCTGCTACAAAGCAAGTGCTCTGCCGTTTCAATTTCATCCTCCTCTTGACAAAGCCTGCAGTACTCAGTGTCGTCGTCACCCCACTTAGAAGTCATGACCCTTATGCTACAATGATTTTTAGGTCTGATTTTGCCATGGATATGAACGACCTTGATCTCTTTTCAGACAAGAGAGCACCGGCCATATTTTCTTAGAGACATTCATTCCCTTCTATTTAGCCAGTTTTGTGGAAATCTCCCGAAGTAATGTTTATGCATCACTCGTAAGAAGTGGCCCAAGGGAGGCTTCATCGAGCTCTCGATCTCCAAATCGATTGACTCAAATCTATGCCGTGCCAATTCATCTGCAGATTCATTGCCAGAAATGTTACAATGGCCTGAATCCCTACAACAAAGGTTAAATGAAGACTTTTCCAGTGCTTTTCTACAATCCAAATCTGCCATAAATTTAATAGTAAATTAATTTAGTGCATTCGGGGCAACTTGAATATCGACACAAATCGTCACTGGTCCGTTTATTTCAGTATTCCGGTTTGCCAGCAGATATATTGCTTTCTTTAAACAAAGATATCTGCCTGGAATAGGTCGTGGTCTGGTTGGAAGGAGTTTCTGATGTTCAGGCTTTCGCAGAAGACCCCAACACCCCTTCCACTCTCAATTTTTGAAGCATAGGTATTGTCGACGGCTATACTGTTGAAAGGTGAGCTGTTCCAGTCTAGGTGAGATATATATTCACTGGCAATGACCGCAACTCTTTTGTTCTCCACATTCCTTAAAATAACAGAATGTCCAAAAGACTGACTAAACGATTGTTCAAGTTCTCACCTGGCAGCTTAAGTTAAGTAGGATGCCTGGAGTTTATTAATTTCCATACAGAGAATCGAAGTCATCAATTCAAGGTCTATATTAACATTGACACGCAGAATTAACTCAAGTCGCGGAGGAAACCTGGCATTTGATCTGAGATGGATTGAATTTCATTTCCCATTGAGTAAACAGCAGCAGAGTCACATAATGTAGACTGATCAGAATTGGTCTGGCATGCTAATGGGACAGAAATCATGGGTCAGGCAAAACTGGCAAGATCGGCTGGAAATTTATCTTCTTAAAAGTTGTGATGTCAAATGTGGAGTTTTGGGACACAAATTCTAGAGCTAATGGCATTCGGATCTACCAAAGTTATTTAAATGTATTTGATACAGGGGAACTGCAATCAAAAATTGAAAACTTTAATACTTTTCATTTTCTATGAAAATAAAAGCAACAAACATTAGAATTTGTTAAGTAAATAGTTAGTTCAACAACAAAAACCCTCCACCTTGCTATTGCAACTAAACTTTACCGGGTGGTCTAGACATTTTAGTACGGCACAAAAAAAAATGGAAGCAATTAATTTAGAAAAAATAACAAATTCTTATCAATTATTGCCTAACAAAATGTTCCACAATAAGAGAGAACAATTTGATAAGATTTTGAGCAATGTGAAAATACTATTTTTATTTATTTGTTTTTTTACTGTTTTGTATTTAGCTGAACCAACTATAGATTTGAGAGTGGCATACCCAACCAGACCTAGTATTTGCGTAGAGTGAAGTGCATAATTGCCAGTCAGACGAACAATAATCACATTTAGACTGATATTGTGTTTTATATGCGAGACCATTTTCTTTTTGCTGATCGTAGACATTAGATTCAGGAGGGTTTTGAACCACTGGAAGTGCTGGTGTGAGCGTTCACACACAATATTTTTTTTTTTTTATTTACATTTCTAATAAGCGCTCCATTATGTCTGCTTTGCCTTGACTTGCCTTGCCTTGCTTACCACACCGGGATCTATCTACAAACAAAACAAAAAAGATAGATAAAAACAGAGTGATACCCGTGGGCAGCGGAGATAAATGTTTATCGCGATAACATTCATTTACTGGCTCTTATCAATTCTGCAGCGAAAGGATTCCAACGAAAATCAAACCCAATATCAGATGTTTTACAAATGTTATGTCGAGTAGAACATATGAAATGGTAATTATTTCGCGAGAAAATACACACAATTGATAATGCTGAGCGATTTATGGCAATAATCCTCTTCTTCCCCCAGAGGAAATGTAAATGTTATCAACCCTAGAAAATTGAAATAAAAAAGACTGCGAAAAATCACAATTTAATTAGAGATAGACATGATAATGATATGTCTGTCATAGCGAGGAGCGGGGGCACGAAGATAACTGTAATTATGAAATAGAAATTATATTTAGTAACACCTAGTAATAGTGTGTCTTTATCAAAAAATAAAGGTATATAACGAAATAAATAAAAACAATTTGCTAAATTATATCAGTTCTCAGGAAAAAAAATACGAATTTGGGTCATCTTTTTTTTATAGAGTTAGTTTTTCTTTGATAATAGTAAAACTTGTTAAATTGATTATGTTGATTATGGACAATGTTTTTGGATGTGGCGCTGACATAAATTTTTGTAATGGGATTAAATATAAAATACAAAAAAATATTTTGGGTCGATAGCTTTAAGTTATTTTTAGAAAAAAGTCGAAACCGAAATATTGACTTGTCCAGCGTTATTTAGCATATTTCCATCAAGCTCATCCGAGTTTCAAAAATACCAAACATGTTTATAGTACTAAGAATAATATTAATAAACATATTTCATTAGTAGTGTGATTAACAATTTAGCATTATAAACAAACATATTAAAATATTTAATTAAGGTGTTTAAGATAATCTGGATTTTCTGACAAACCTCGATACTTTTTTGAACAGACAAGAAACATTTAATACAATTTTTATGGGAATTTTTGACGCCATTTAAGTAAGCCAATTTAGATTCGATTGAGAAATATGTGTACAATCATGGTACAATGAATTCAAGGTAGGGCAGAACTACCATATGATTTAAATTTTTTTATTTTTCTGGCTTAATATGTCAACTTCATTTGCTTATGTGTGTGTTTTCTTTTCAATAATAAAAAAATGTTCAGAAAATATTCAAATTCGGGTGTTTTCAAAATGCTTATTGCAACGAATGCATCGACAAAATTTACAGTTTTTGTCGCGAAATAAACCATAAAAGATATATAGAACATGATATTGAAAAGAAATTTTGACCATTCATTCAGTTTTCGCGATTTTAAATTATTTATTCAAAATCAATGCAACAAGTTGTTTGCTTTTTTATTGTTTTGATAGTAATTCTGACATTACAAGCCAAACAGGTAGACCTCTATATCTTTTTTCAAAGTTGACCTACCTTCTCTTCATTGTACCATGTGTACAATATTAAAACTAATTTGTTTTGAATTTGATCAGGTAGAAAATTTTGTGAGATCTTCGAAAGTTTATGCAAAAATTGGACTGAGCGGATGGATCATTTGAGGCCCAGTCGTGGTCAAAATTTGCACAAAACAATAACCTTCAGGCATTAAATTATATCGGCCATACTATCAATTCAAGTGTAATTCAAACTAGTAAAAAAGGAGCTAAGTCCGACCGGGCCGAACTTTTAATACCCTCTACACCATTTTGAAGGATCTTCACAATTAACAAATAATCCGTCGAAAAATAGAACTTAAATGAAAAATGTTAAATGGGGGCTACACGAAGACGTGGACCTACATAGACAAATTTCCATCATAGGAGTACTCATTACAAGCTTCAAACTTTAAATACGAAATTTGAGAAAAAAATCGGTAAAAAATATCGCTAAAATGATCAAAATACCGAATAATTTGGGATTTGCTGTTGTATGTGGGCTAAATAAATACGTGGATATATAGACAATTTTCCGGTTGTGGTATTCAATAGAAGTTTCAAATACGAAATTTGAAACAATTCAGGTCAAAAGTATATCTTAAATAATCCAAATACAGAATATCAGGGGTTACCGCTATATGGGGGCTATGCGATATCGTGGACCTATATAGACAATTCTTTTCCAGGGGGTAAAGTACTCAGAAAGAACTCCTTGTGTGGATTTTTAGATAATTCCATTAAAAAATGTGGCTAAAATCATGAAAATACCGAATATCGGGAGGTACCGTTATATGGGGGCTATACGATATCGTAGACCTATGTAGACAATTCTTCCATGGGGTAAAGTGTTCAGAAGGAATTCCTTGTGTGGATTTTTAGACAATTCTGTTAAAAAAAATGAGTCTAAAATCAGTAAAATACCGAATATCGGGAGGTACCGTTACATGGTTGATATACTATTTTGTAAACCTATATAAACCTATATAGACTATTCTCTTACAGGCGGTAAAGTATCCACAAAGGACTCCTCGTGTAGATTGTGAGGTGACCAATTTGAACAAATCTAAACTTATTCTAAAAATTGATGATGTTTCCGACCTTATTTGCTTACAGTCAAAAAAAAATGTAAAAAGATGTTGTATGACTTTGTTGCAGTTCTTTATCTTACCCTGTATACTTGTGATAACTTGTTGGATAAGTATTCTTGTAGGCCCTCAAATAACCCGTATTCTATACCGAGATTTGAACCCTGACTTTTGGGGCATAAGGGTCCGTCCTCTACCAAAAAAAAAAAATTGGGAGTTTTACTAAACTAGAGCCTAATGAGACATTCTACGATTGCTTCCTAAAATGTAGCGTCTTTAGATGTGCTAATTATTGAACGTTTAATAACACAAAATTGTGATACTGCATTCAATGCTTTCTTAACCGTTTTTAAATCGCCTAAATAGCTATAAGGAAGAGCAGCATTTAATTTAATTTTCATCCCCATGGCCATTATCATTCCGATAGATGAATTGAAATGTTGCCCAAAAATCCTATTTGTTTTCCATAACCCACAACATTTTTTGGTGACAAAATTTTTCTATTAAAACAGTTTCAAGGCAAATCAAAATTTCTATATTATTTTGTTGTTGTTTTTTTTAGCTCAGATCAGATCAAGTGTGTTTTTGTGTTTTTAGCGTTCTATTTACTGCACACAAATACTACAGTAACAGAGCTACACCTGATGCTTCTCTTTTCTTATTGGGTTATTACACACATTCCAATTGAACAATTTCGGTTCCCTTTTGTCCCACAAATTCATTTTAAATGGAATATTATTATTCCAATGCGTTTTCTATAAATATTTATGCGAAGACGACAATCACAAATTGACCAAGTTTTGGTTATTAATTCTTTTTTTGTTTTTGTTTTTCGTCTAATCAACGGGCAAGCGAGCGTGTATTGTCGTCTTGTCGTCGTCGCAGTCGTTGTTGTTGTTACTCAGCAGTTTCGTTCGTACGGTGTGGTGTGTCTGTGTAAATACGTAATTAAGAATTGACAAGAGCAGCATGTTTTTCATTAGCTCTGCTGCTCTTCTTGGTCTTGACAGGTCGTTCCGTCGTTGTGTCTTGTTCGGACAATAGTTGTTGCGTTGCTGCTGTTGTTGATGTTATTGGTTAGGGGTTAGATGAGAGGAGACAATTTATGAATGCTTTATTTGTTTGCTACTTACATCGTCCAATTCGATTTTATCATCATCTGAATCACGGGGATTTTCGTCCTCGTGGAGTTCGAGAACAAAGAGTTCACTGGCGTCACTCACGTCAGCCATAATGCAATTGTTGCACCAGATATTTTGTTAAGAGTAATAAAACGTGGAGGAGCAGGGCAAGAATCGAATTCACGTTGAATTCGTGCTGCTATGGTCGGTCTCGGTCGATGTTGATGATGACAGCAGCAAGCAAGCACGGCAATCACACACACCTCAACAAAGAACAGTGACAATTATTTTTTCGTATATTTTTTTTCTTTCTTGCTTTTGTCTTCCTTATATTTTTCACTTATTTTGTTGTTAAGTTTATTGATAGTCCGTCGCCAGTGTGATCCAAACACAACCAAATTTATTTTTCTAAATGCGTGCGCAGCTAAAAAGCTGCCTCAGAGACCTTGAGAATTGGTATCACCTCTGAATTTTCTATTCAACAATTATGCGTTGACGCGGAACTACACCAGCACCACACTGAAACAGTTTAGGAGGAAGTCAATTGTTTTTATGTGGATCCGATAATTCAGAAAGTTTGCTTTTTTGCAGCAGGAGCAGCGGTAGAGCACTACCAATCAATCAGTGTTAGCTGCTGATTGTAATTTACATCGAGATGGATTGGATGGCTCTGTCCAGCACACTACATACAAACACACAATACACACTAAAATCAGCCCGTATACACGCGATTTTGCACAATTGGAAATCCGTATGCAATGTCCAGAGTGGTTTCCCTTGCACAATTAACAATTGTCGTAGGGTTTTCGAGAAGAACGAATCAGTTTTCTTCCACGTATAGTGTAAAAATTTAATATTTTTGTGTTGTTTTATAAATAAATTCAGACAATGATGACAAACTACGACGACGAAACACGAGGAAACTAGGGATATGTACGTCGATTGTCGACTAATCGCTTAATCGATTATCTGTGATTGCATAATCGAGTTTGTTACCGACCGATAATTCGACCATGACTGTTATAGCATGTTTCCATTGGAAACCGAACAACGTTGTTCGTTCTCAGAATTAGGTACACGAAATAACCCGTTCATACGGGACGGTTCGTAATTCATAGTAAAATAATTCCTTTTTACAAAATTTTTGTTTGTTGATTTTAATGGGAATTTATACTAAAATACATGAAATTCTCACTAATATAAATAGAAGAAATTATTGTTTTCCTTCCGTAGATTTATTACATCATTAATTTGCAGTTTTCTGTGGAAATTTCAACTCGTGGACCAAATGCGTACCTCGAATGAGAGAGAAAACAAAATTTACTTTCGTTTGAATGTACATACGCCATTCAACATTGTAGTTTTCATTCATAATTTTCAGTATTTTCAGTCTTCCCAAAAATTTTTAAAATTTCATTAAATTTTTCTGTTTTTCATTTTTAAATGCCATAATTTATTTTTTCGATAAATGCTCTCATTTGTTAGGGATGGGACATATTTTTTCGTTGTTCTGAGAGTGATTTGATTTGAACAACGTACAAATATGAGTGTTCGCTCAGGAAATTTTGTGTGAAGAATTAGGTAGTTTTTTCATTGTTAAGGGTCAAACAACGAATAGAGAGCGAATCAAGTGCAGTGGAAACGCCACATTATGAAAATAAAAGAAATGCCCGGATTTTCTTTCAAAATTATGATCTAAACAGTTCTATCTTTCAATTCTATGGTAAAAAGGCGAATTGCTTTAATATATATATATATATATATATATATATATATATATACAAAATTGGCAGAAGTCGGGCATACTTAGAAAAAAATTGTAATCAGCTGGTAGCGCTACCTTACCTTTTTATTTGTACCATGGTTTTGGCTACTTTTATCGCACATTGTCCCTGTAGTCTTTGTTTCTTTTCTCACGGCGACAGTTTTCGGATATCAGTTTGTACTTTATTCATTGGACCATGATCCAAGTATAAGGCCCCCCTTCCAACTCAGCTGATTACCACACGATCTGTCAATTAGATCTGAATTCGCTTCAAAACTTTGCTTTGGCATTCTTCGAACTGGTTCCGTGCTCCTTTTGGTGAATGTGTTCAAACCACTTATGTTGTCGGCCGTTTTGTTTTGATTCCTTTTGATTTCTTTCTTTTCAGTGTTGCCATGAAACTTCACTTTTTTCTCTCGGTGGCGTCGGTTGGAGGTAATTCATTTAAATTTTTTATTTTTTTAATTATTTAATTAGTTAATCATTCGTATAAAAATTAATATATAAATATCATAAATATCTAGAAACAAATGGAACAAATGTGTATATGTGTGATTTGAGATTGTGCGTGATTTAAAAAACAATAAAACAAAGCCGACCGCCAACATAACCTCCAATTCGTGGATAAAACATTAAAGGTTCATTGTCCATAGAAAAGCCATAATGTGTCTCCAGCGGTAACTCGAGGATATTTTTCCAGCTGTATTTATTTGTACCCTGATTCCAGGAAAGTATTTTTCTTGGGGACGGATTCCCGGGCACGGATATTGACTCCCAAACGCCGGGTTTAAGATCCGGGTTAGAACCGGATCTGCAGGTTCTGTTCCAGAGCAAATTCCTATCGCATTGAATACGCAATACCATCAGCACATTTGAATTCAAATATCGGAAATTGGAAATTTGTGAAAGGAGAAGGGTAATTAGGTACAAAAGGAACAAACGAGGAGATCCATAATTCCTTTTGATGATCCGCATAGAATCACATTCTGAGTCGATTTATGCATGTCCGTCCGTCCGTCTGTCCATGTATTTTTGTAAACAAAGTATAGTTCGCATTTATTGCCCTATCCAGATGAAATTTTGCACAAAACATTTGTTTGGCCCAAGGACGAACCCTATTGAAATTGGAGATAATCGGTCAAAATTTAGATATAGCTCCCATATATATCTTCGTCCGATTTGCCTTTTATTGTGCACCAAACGTGTAATATCAGTCCGAATAGTGTGGTATTTCGCATGTACGATCAGATTGGACCTCAAAGTAAGTGTGCCAAATTTCATCGAAATCGGTTCAGATATAGGTATAGCTCCCATATATATTGTTCATCCGATTTGTTATTTTTGTCCTCCGCAGCCGTAATATGCACTTTGTAACAACAATATTTGGTCAAATTTATCAAATACAGCTCAGAAATACATTTGCTAAATTTTATCGAGATCGGTTCAGATTTGGATATAGCTCCCACATATAACTTCGTCCGATTTACGTTGGATTGTGCACCAAACGTCTAATATTTGCCCAAATTGGATGAAATTTGGCACTTACGACCGAATTGAGTCTAGAAGCTAGTATGTCAAATTTAGTGAAGATCGGTTCAGATATAGCTATAGCTCCCATATATATTGTTCATCCGATTTGTTATTTTTGTCCTCCGCTGCCGTAATATGCACTCCGTAACAACCATATTCAGGGATATATATCAAATACAGCTCAAGTTTTATCGAATTTGGTTCCGATTTGGATATAGCTCCCATATGTCTTTACACGTGTATCGTCAGACTTCATATATCTATAATGTTTTTAATAGGAATATATTTGAATTTTATTCTCTACCATTGCTTACGGGCTCAATTGCGGTGGTCCGAGTTCTGGCATAGCCATTGGCAGAAGTCTCAATTTACTTCCTGACTGCACCACATATGCCTTTTTGAAATGGTCTGTGTAAACTTTTGATGTAGCTGCAAATTTGATTTGGCACATTTGACTCCACTCTGGTGTTTTCATCTCTGGGAACAGAGAAAAAGTTCAGTGCCTTTCCAGGCTCTTCTTTTCGCAAATTCTCATTGTTAATTCACGCACTCAAGTTAAAAAAGAGAAGAAACCAATTTAAAAAAATATCTTTCTATTTGTTTTTAAAATTTGAAATTAACGGGCAATAAATAACGGACAAGTAATTATTTACATCTTTTGCAGTTGTCAGGCGTATATATTAGTTGTCAGGCGGATTCACATTATGTTGACAGAAAATGTAGGTATCAGCTGGTCTTACTTGTCGACCTAATAAACGGGCCTTGATTTGGACTCTATTCCTCTATTCGTTCGGTACGTGGAAAAAGAAAAAAGTTTTTAATTTTTTATTTTCTCAACGATAAGAAGAGATAAGACGGCTGATAGTATCACAAACGACATAAACACATCAAATTACTCGTCATCAATATGAATATGGAGGAAGTAACACCTGTCAATCCCAATGATTTGAAAGACTTGAAGGAGCGTATGAATTTAATTGCCCAAGCAGACCCCAAGCAATATCATAATGATTTCTCCCTGAAACGTTATTTAAGGGCATTCAAAACTGTTGATGACGCCTTCCAGGTAAGTTTATCAGGGCAATCAATGCATTGCATTGTTCTTGAACTATCATTAGGTGACATTGCCGTTTTCTTGTAGGCTATATTGAAGACGAACAAATGGCGGGAGCAGTACGGTGTCGAGGCTTTGCAAAACAATACGGAACTTGAGCAATATAAGGATAAGGCCAGAGTACTGCGGCATAGAGATTGCCTGGGCAGACCGGTAATATATATACCAGCAAAGAACCACAGCAGTGAACGTGATATTGATGAGTTGACCAAATTCATTGTTAAATGCCTGGAGGAAGCTTGCGGCAAATGTTTCGAGGAAGTGACAGACCGCCTTTGCATTGTTTTTGATTTGGCCGATTTTAATATGAACTGCCTGGACATGCAGCTGGTTAAGAATTTGATATGGCTATTATCGCGACACTATCCCGAACGCTTGGGCGTTTGTCTAATCATCAATTCTCCGGGTCTGTTTTCAACAGTATGGCCCCTCATACGTCAATTGATCGACGACAATACCGCAAAGAAGGTGGTATTCGTCAATGACGAGACCGACTTGTGTAAATACTTGATACCCGATATACTTCCTACCGATATGTAAATAGCATTTACATTGGGTGCGGAGAAGGACCGGGTGTTATCTCGAACGGTGCATATAAAACAAAAAAATAACAGAAATGCGGCACAATATTTACATTCCTGTGTGCTTCTCGTGCAGCTCTAGACAAAATCAAACAACAGTACCTAACAAAATGAGATATTGCTACAAATAACAAACAAATATTCCTCACTTAGCCTTTTTATTAAATGTAAAGATATTCATCATTCCATGGTCAGATCTCCCGTAATTTATGTTTGTAATTAACGCAAGTAGTGGTGATTTGGTTATTACGATTATTATTATTATTTAAAACTGTAAATGTTGTGTACATCTATTTATCCGTGTATTTATGAACCATATTATATGAATTTACCATTTGTGTGTGTATGTTTGTAGTGTATACTAAGCCAGTGAATGTATTCATGTATTATTCAGATAGTATTTGTTTTCTGGGAAACCAGATTAAAACGAAACCATCTGAGGAGATCTGATTGTTAATACATTATTGTAACTCTATTACAATGTAATATCTTACTAACGTTTAATTACAAATGCCTATGTATGTAGACGATAGTGAAGAGCTAAATCGTTGGTGGTGAGCTATTTTCATTATCACCAAAAACACAAAAAATAGCAAATAATCTCAATTTCATGATTCGATTGCCAGTAATGACTCATTATTTATGTTCTATTTTGAGTTAGCTGTTGTTTCAAATGTGACACTTCGATGTGAAAAAGTGTGTCATTAGGGATACATTAATCATTATCTGTACGGTTTAAAGAAATATTAACTTTTGGAAAGTATTTATTTGCTATTTTTAGATAAACGTTTGTAGAAATTAAACACATTTGTATGCATGATTTATATATATGTATGTATACATGTATTAATAATAAATATTAATCCCATTGGGCTGGAAATACTTATTTAAATGATGTGTTCTTTAGACAAAAACATAATGTTCTCAGAAAAAGAAGCGGTTTTTTGCTGTCGGAAAAGAGGAAAAGCTATTTTCATAAATCTGTTTCCATTTTTATGATATAGAAAAAGGGGAACTACAAGTAATATTGCGAGCTTTTTATTTATGCAGATGATTGTACAATTGTGTCGCTGTTTCATACATGCGCTTGAGAGGGAACTCCAATGTTTTAAGAAAATACCTCTAGATCAAAAAGCCTGTCAGAAAGGACCTGTTAACATTCCTACTGATGCAGACACCGATGTCACATAAATACCGCTCACCAAATGAACTTTGTATGGATTCTCGACAGAACGTCCCGATTCTTAATAAATTTCTTCAGTATGGTATAGCAATTTACATTAGAGATGAAGATCAGTACAGGAGTGGTAGTGCGTTTCAAACCAATCAATGTTTTTGTCTTATGAACCAGTCTTTAAGGATACTGTATGCTAAGAGCACGTTTATCCGATACCATCAAATCTATGCCAGTTTTGAAAATACAAACGTAGCGGTAGACGTGAATCTGTGCCAGGGGACATGAATAACCAGTACTCGGCTCCTTCGAAAAGAGCATAAAACGACTTACCCTTGATAACGAAATATGAAGGACTAAATCTAGACATGTCAGAATGCTGTCCCGAGAACTGCGACAGCGTGAAAGTAGCCGAATTTTTTTTATCCTGGAGCAAAACCAAATTAGGAGAAACAAAACAAACCATGCAAAGCTGTTGCAATAACAACAGTATACTGCAATACATGGACATGACCTCCATGATAGTAAAAAAATCATGAACATTTGCTGCGCCACTACTGAATCAATGTCTAATTACTACTCCGATGCGAAATTAGTACCTATCCTCCAAGTAGTTAAAATCTTTAAATAGTTACTGTGTTATGATGCTAGTGCCATGTCAATTAAAATTTATCAATAGTGTACAGGGTGAGATGAAAAAACTGCAACCAACTTCAGACTGCTGTCATTTCCGACAGTAATTTGGTGAGAATTTTTCAGAAAAAAAGTTATTCGTGATGGAATTCAAGCGTGATAGTGTGATTTCTTTATATTTGTCTGGAACCACAAGTTGATATCGTTAGAGAACTCCAGCATTTAAATATGAATAAATCGTATGTGTCTCGAACCATCGCTCGTTACCGTGATACTGGTAGCGTAGCCCGACGTCAAGAAAGTGGACGGAAGAAAACAGTAACATCAGCAGAAATGGTTCGAAAAGTAAAGAAGTGACTTGATCGAAACCCAGTGACCGAAAAATGGCTCGTAAACTGAACATATCGCAATATTCCAATCGGCAAATATTGCAAAATGAGTTCGTGGCAAAGACATTGAAATTCTAAAAAGGGCAAGTACATACACCGCTACAGAAAGAAAATAGACTGAAAAGCGAAGAATCTCCGCTTGGCCAAAAGTGGTGAACTGTCGAATTTGGTTTTCTCCGTCTTCGATGAGAAAACATTCGTTGTTTGTAAACAAACAAAATGATCGTGTTTACTTGCCAAAGAGGTCAGCCGAAAATGTGTACCTTCGGTGGGCTTCAGAACTCAAGCGCCGGCCATGGTGATTGTGTGGGCCGCCATAACAGCCGATGGTCGCTCTTCGCTCGTATTAATCGACCGTGGCATGAGAATAGATGCCGAATATTATTCCTCGCTTCATTTCCACCTCACTATGGCCACCAAAATCTCCGGATACGAATCTGTTGGACTATTGTGCCTGGAGTATTTTGGGAATGTCTTTTTATCTCACCCTGTATTTGGTGCAAAACATGTTATTAAGAAGAATGGATATAGTCAACAACATTTAATAAAGATTCAATTCAATAGAGATCGTCTCCTGTCTTTCTTTTTCTTTTCTAAAATTCTGGTTGGCCGTCTTGAGTGCTTGCCGTTTCGCCTCTTCATACTTCTCCCCGCAATAAGGTTTATTATAATTTTTCAGCCACTAAATTGTAGTGACTGATTTTTCAAACTTGACGCTCTAATAAACATTTAGATGATATCTGTCGATTAACATTTCGATACTTACTGAGCTCCATTTAATTGTCCAGATGTTTGTGCTCGTCCACTGAGTTCACTTGAATATGATTATTTTGTAATTAGTTAGTTTATTATATAATAATATTTAGATAATAATATTGAATATTGTGTATATGTATCTATATAATTTATGAAATATATTTTGTTTCCTTTTTTTGAGTTCTCTTCAAATAAATATCAATTATTTTAAACTTTTCACACTTTTTGAAAAAAAAAAAAAAAAAAAAAAAATCCAACAAAAAATCATTAATTCAGTTCAATTTCTTTATCTTCAATACTAAATGAGGCCATAATATTTGGATAATCCAAACTTTTCGAATGGCTAGCAAAAATTGTGTTAAGTTTTGAAAGTCAATCTATTTCAAAATTTACACAGCAATGCCCAGTAAGGATCACCTAACATCTACTCATATTGTGTGACACTTCATGCCAAAATAGTGTGGAAAGTAAAATAGAAAAATGTTATAATAAAAAAAAAAAAATTATATATAAATACATTTGTGTATGAGAAAATAATATTGATCACATGAACTATTCGTTTAGCAATAACATTTGAGAAAATTTAAAGCTAAATAATTGTTGTTTATCAAATACGTCTATATAAAACACAAGATATTTGCAAAAACGAAATTTTTGAAATCCTTATAAAACTAAATGTTTTTTTGTTTTCCAAACATAATGAGTTTGCCAGCAGTTTTTTGTTCATCCAACTATATTTTTTTCGCATAGTAGATACATTTAGTAGCTCGTTGGTATACACTTGCGTCGGTTCTTTTGCATTTTCTCTATATTCTCCTTGATGGGCGTTCGTGTGTAGAAACCCTTTACTATGGACTTAACATTTAAAACTGTGGCAATGAATTGATTAATGGATATCTCCCAATAATCATAGTCAATGGAACTATTACTGCTGCTTGTATTTTTGCTGGACTTTTGATTTGAGGATGAATTTGATTCTCCGCGTGCTTGTCTCAACTCTTCTTCCAAATCCATGAAAAGTTTCGTAGTACCGGGCGGTTCACATGGTGTGGTTGGGTTGCCATTTGAGTCGGGCTATAAAGATTGAAATATATATATATATATGTTTTCAATAAGATACACAAAATTGACCAAATCCAATTGGAATTTGATACAGCATCCAATTTGAACTTGATATTTTAAACATCAACCATAAATGGAAACTTGCAGCGTTCACCCTCTTTACATACCTCTTCATTTCCACCTAAATTCAGTTGTGTAAAACTCTCCAGACTGGATTCTTTTTTCAAATTACAATTTCCCATTTCAATGAGATTTTTATCTAAAAACAACAACAAAAAATATCGAGTGATGATTCCAACGATAGATCTAAATTTGCATCTACTTACAGGCATTATTCATATCAGCATCAGATGCTCCCAATATCTCATGAATACTTCTCCATAATATTTGAAAATTGGCCTTTTTCATATTAGGTATTTGCTTATTGGGCGAACCACTACCATCGGGCTGATCGAACAGAGCTCTCAGACTACCCAAACTTTTGGTGTCCGTATTCGAATCGTTTCGTTCCATTTTGACATTTGTGGCCATTACCAGATCACTGATTTGTGAGAAATTCGAAATTGTTTCAACATTGAGTTGGGGAGGTGTTACCTTGGTCACACCCAAATCGGAAATGTCCGAAAAGGTATCAATGGACTCGAAACGACCTTGCTGCCGCAGTGGAGATAGGGCGGCTGCTGCTGAGCCGTTATGGGAATTTGAGCCACCGCCAACAAGGGCACTGCCCTCGCCACCACCACCACCACCCATTGCTCCTCCGCTGGTGCCAGGCATGCTTATTTCATCTTCTGAAAGATCTACATAAAATGTTGATGTTCTTGCATTTACTGCCATCGATGAGGCGTTTGAATTACCCGCTTGATTGTTCGGTGGTCTCAGTATATCCATAAACGTACTACCCGATATACCGGCCAAATCGTGCAGCCTTCTTGTGGCCGTTATCAGAGCATAATCGTCTTCGTCAAAGTTGTTGTCCGTGGGCGAGGGCAAGGCCTCAATCGACTCAGAAGCTTCTTCCTCAAAGAAGTCTTCCGCCTCAATGGCCTCCTCGGCATCATCTTTGGTCTTTGTCTTGGGTCTACGTACCTGTTCAATTTCCGCCTTGGACAACAGAGGCGGTAAATGCAAAATATATAAAAGTTTAAGTTTCTCGGTGTATTTCTTGGAGCACAGCAAACCAAACGCGTTTATGAGCTGGGCAAATTCCAAAGTTCCGGTACTTTTCTTATCCGTTAGCTGCAAAATAAAACAAAGTGAATAAAGGTAAATTCTTTTCTGCGATTTTTCATACCCTAAATATTTTTTCAGCCAAATCGATGGTAACACATGATTTCCAAGGCATCAGTTCATAGAACAACACACGGAATGTATCAAAGTCTACACCATAGGCCTCGGCCCGGCTACAGTTGCCCTCATTAAAGCCCCATTTTGGACGGCTTGTTGATGGGGATGGCACTAAAATGGGAGATTCACCGACCTGAGCCTGTATCTTTTGCAAATGAGCTTTGCGAAAAGCATTCTTCTCTTCGCGTATTATGGACAGCAGCAGTCGCAGTTCATCCTTGTCGAAGTATGGATTTTCTGCATGGAATTTCACAATTGTCTCCTCATTGTCCAAATCGAATTTACGCATGGTCAGGCGACGATGTTTGTTGCGCAACTCTTCGATCTTCTGCAGCGTAATGTGGCTAAATTTCGTGTAGGCTTCATGGATGAGCGTTTGAACGGTTTGTGTGCGTCTGAATTTCCTTTTTTCATTTTCCAGCGGAGAAGGATAATCTGGATTATAAATACCCTGTAAAAATGTTGACAGCAACATCATTGATTCACCATCATCCTGACATTTCAACAGTTGTTCCTTGTTCCATTCGAGAATTTGCAGGGCAATTATGAAAATAATCTTTGCACCGTCAACAAAGAAGCAGTCTATAATGTGTAGAGCACTCTCATAGGAAATCACACTGATAAATATCGTTAGGAACCAGGATATTGTTATCATCTTGATGGTACCCAGTGAATCCAAATGTTCGTGCAATTCGGGTAGGTACATTTTAATTAGCTCATTGAGAACTCCTTGGTCAATCTGGAAATCAAAGGATATAGAGGCTTTTTATATAAAAATATGACATTCACCCACCTGAGCTCCTACAACTTTATCCTTATAATAGTCAGGTAGTAGATTTTCACATAAACTGGCCAACAACCAAAAGGCATTTTCTTCATCGCAAAACAGCAAAAATACAGATGTGATTATATTCAAACCTTGGGTATAGCCCACTTGGGGATTTCGCAAGGCATAGGCTTGCAGGACGCGTTTCAATGCCCCCAGGCCATCTTCACTCTGAAAGGCAAGATGTTCGGGCAGTGAACGACGTAGATCTCTTTCGATTTCGTCATGAGTCGATGATTGTTTGATGCATGCAGCCTTTTCGACCAAGTCCTCATACAAACCCGGATGCATATCTTTCTCGTGTATGGCTCCGGAAAATATTAGCCAAACTTCTTGACGCAAATGATCGGGAACACCCTCGGCAATGAGATTTATAACATCGGTAGTGCGAAACATTGAAATGCCACGACCATAGTCACGGAAATGTGATTCCCAGCGGGCAATTTTTTGATTTTGTTTCTCCTGCATGGCTGGGGAAAATTGTGTTTTGAAGGTGTTGATCAGAGCCGATTGTTTGCTCCAGGAGATATCGTATTTGGGACGTTCATTTCTGGCGGGACTGTAAAGAATCAATATTAAATTAATAAGACTTCTTCTTTGAGTTGCTTTTAAACTTACACATGGAATTTTGAAAGCAAATTGGTGATTTTTGTTATTAAAACATCACGATCTACGATTTGAGCAAAGACAAAGGGCACATTTTCCGAGGAGGTTATAACAATTTGATTTTCATAGCGATGGCCGCCATCATCTTTCTTTTCAACACTCTTCGGGGAAAGAAAATTAAGATATTAATCAAATCAATGTTTACTTAACAAGATATCGGGGGTATTTACCTTAATAACCTTTAAGGGTATAACGACACTGACAAATCCCTTGGTATCACTTGTGAAGCAAATAAAATTCGTCGAAAGATAAATATTACCGGGCACATAACGCTTCGAGTAGGGTGTAAATAAGTTTGCTAAAAATATAATTTTTTTGTGGTATTTTATTGAAAAGAAACGTAGTGTCAAATACCAACCTTTTATGGTACCATCTATTATCTCCCTCTGTGGCAAACGGAAATACATACGATACTCTTCTGATTTTTGTCTGGCAGTCAAATCACTACACAATGCTGGCTTCTTCGAAGATCTGCGACCAAATCGTTGCAGCAATGAGGATTCTTGGTCGATAATTGGACTATCAGGATCCTAGCAATAAAAGTGAATACAATTTCCCTTATTATACTGTCAATTGGATAAGTAATACAAAAATGCCACGCACCTGTATAATGCGTTGTATGGCCATTTTATTTAATTGCTCTATAAGCTCATAGGCTTCCACATGATCAAATAGTATGGTAAAATTATATTGCATTTTATTGTTGGTTTTCAAATAAATTGTATTGCCATAGTGCGACAATTCTTCAAGTTCCGTAAAACGTATACTTCGTTTGGTTTCTTGACCCAACATATATGAATAGAAACTCACATGATTTAGGGAGATGTACAGGTGGCCTTGGCGTGGTATTTTATTTTTAATGTAACTGAAATAGAAATTAAAGAATTACAGGATTCTCACGTCCAAAAAAAAAATATAATCCCATACGTACGTGCACGAATAATAGTTAACCAATTGTTCCTCTTCGGGCATATTGAAATACTGTCGAAATTTCGATTGATTTACTTTGAAATCAGCCGAATCTCCTGTTTCATCCTGATTGTTTTGCGTGTACAGGGATTTAATTTTACATATGGTAAAATTTGTTATCTCCTCTTCGCATTCCATTTCATTTAGGACTTTGAAAAGATTTTTGGATAACCAATCCCAGTCTTTGTAGATTTCTTCTTGGTTGACACCAATGGCGATTTCTGCAAAAAAATGAGATATTTTAGAATTGTTTTTTGATTGTAAAAATATTGATTATATTTTTATCATTTTTTTGTGAATTTATTAAGATTTGCGTAAACCATTTTTTAACAAAAGGTATTTTCTAAATATAAAATATCTAAAGAAAGAAAAAACATCTCCATAAAAATTTGAGTGCATTATCACGATTTAAGTGAATTTTTCCTTACAATTTTGGTGATCTTATGACAAAAAGTGATTTAATTTTTGTTGAGTACTTTTGAACACCACTGTTCATATGCTTGTAATTCATCTATTAGTATAAGCACTATGATCATGAAAATTCTAATCATTCTGTTCTTCTTTGTTTTTCATCTGTAACTTGAAAGTGAAATATAATTTTGTTTTGAAATCAATAGAATATAGTGTCAAGTGATCGATTGAAGTCTGTTGGTTTCCGTATACTCAAATGAAATACAACGACCGTTTTTATATTAAATTAAGAATTCACAAACGTTTATTAAAATCAATTATACGAGCTTAAACTAGTACGCCTTGTCAGGTTGGCTTCGTATCTTCAACTCGTTACATTTTTAAAATTCAGGGTTGTATCCGGGTTGCATGTAATCGTATATTTTCACATGTATGCAACAAAAGGTATCTACTACTACTTTTAACTTGACAACTCGGCCTTTCCTGACCTGAAGTCGTCCTCGGCTTCATCTTCGCTTGAAACATCCAATTCGGGGGAACATTCACACCATTTCTTCAACTTGTCGGAACTGAATACGGAACAGAATTTCCTATTCGTGATGTTTATTCCAGGAATGTCCTCTATCAGGTACCTGTCGTTGCCCAATACTCGTGCTATTATGTATGGACCTTTGTATTTAGGTTCTAACTTCCGGGATTCACCTGTCGCTGGTGGTTCATTCTGTATAAGGATCAAGTCACCTTCCACATACAATTTCGGATTCGAATGCTTGCTGTCAAATCTTTTCTTCCATCGTTCTCGTTCGCTTTTGATGTTTTCTGCGGCCATGATACGTTTTTCGTTGATGGAAATTTCTTCGTTTTGTACATCATCTTGTACAGCTGCTAACAATCGGTTTTGTATTAAGTCGGTGGGCTTGTAATCGAAAATCAACTCATTCGGACTGTAACCTGTTGTCGAATTTTTGGTTGAATTGATTGACCATTGTAAAACGTGAAGTGCCGAGTCCCAATCCTTCGGTTCTTCAGTGGTAGTTCGTAAATAAGACAGGATAAGTTGATTGACCCTCTCAACTTGTCCATTGGCTCTTGGTGTACGAACGGCATTCTTAATGTGTTGAATATTGTTTCGATCGCAATATTCCTCAAACATTTTTGACGTAAAAGCTGTCCCACGGTCCGAAATTATTCTTCGAGGTAAACCAAAGTATCCACTAACCTCATTTAAAACGTTGATGACGGGCAATGTCTTCGTATTCCTTACAGCTTTAATAACCACAAATTTCGTAAAGGAATCGGCGATTGCCACTATATGTGTATGACCATGCTTGCTTCTTATAAACGGTCCCAAGTGATCAATATGTACTTGCCTAAATGGTAGCGGTTCGACATTACTAAAATGTAGAGCTCCTTCGTGTTTACCACCTTTTGCCTTGTTGTAGCAACACTCTACACACGCTGCAATGTACTCCTTCATATATTTCCTCATGCGGGGGAACCAAAACGTTTGTTCGACTCGTGAGAGGCTTTTCTCCAACCCGTAATGGCCAATATCATCATGACAGTATTTAGCTATGCGCCATCGTATAGCCTTCGGTATGACCAATCGTAGTCCATTTTTCGTTTTCCGGTATAGTCGATGTTTTTCCAATAAGTATTCAGATTTTATCTGTTTCTCTTGCTCAGATTTCAATTCATTTCGCAGTACTCTCATAATATTCTTTATGTGGTCGTCGTTTAGCTGCATCGTGAGAATCCAATCATCGCTATCAATATTCATTATGAACCCTGCTGGTTCAATCTCCGTCTGTGGCTGATCCGGTGAACGGCTGAGAGCATCAACGTGAGCCATACGTGACCCTTGTCGGTGTACATACTCACAATCAAATTCAAGTAATTTCATCAGCCATCGTGCTACTCGAGGTTGTAATTCCTTCGTTGTCTTCACATTAGTAATTGCGGCACAATCAGTGACGATTCGGAATGGCTTTCCAAGTAAATATATACGGAAACGCTGCACCGTTTCAACCACAGCTAAAACTTCCAGCTCGTAACTGTGATATTTCGATTCCGTTTCAGAACAGTGGCGGCTAAAATAAAACACTGGTTGCCAATTACCATTACCATCGGACTGTAGTAACACTCCTGCTAATCCGAGACTGCTAGCGTCCGTGTGCACCTCGTGATCTGCTTTCATATCGTAGATTGCTAAAACTGGTTCACTACACAAAATTTGGATTAAACTTCTGAATGCGTTTTCATGGTGTACGTCCCAACGAAATTTATTCTCTTCGCTCTTTCGTGTCAACATCGCAAGAGGTTTCGTAATGGCTGCATAATCCTTTACAAATTTTCGGAAGAAGTTAGTTAGGCCAAGGAATCGTCGTACTTCTGTTACATTCGTTGGTACCTTAAAATTTCTAATCGCTTTTACTTTTTCTTCTCCAGGTAAAATTCCGTCACGTGTAACTATGTGTCCCAAATAAGAAATCTTTTCGGCTAGGAACGAACATTTCGCCAATCGTAACGTGAGACCACATTTCTTAAGGATATCCAAAAATCTTTTTATTCGGTCCAGACCTTCATCGACTGTTTTACTGGGAATTATGACGTCATCCAGATACGCTAAAACTTCTCCTGGTTTCATAAAGCTTATAACTCGGTTCATCGTTGCCTGAAAAACTGCAGGTGCGTTTACCAAACCAAATGGCATCCGGTTGAATTCATAATGACCATCTGAAGTCACGAAAGCTGTGAACTTTTTCGATTCTTCCTCTACTTCAATTTGGTGGTAACCCATACGTAAGTCGAGTGTGGTGAAATAACGATTTCCGGCGAGTTGTGCAATCTGTTCATCCAGTACAGGCATAGGATGCGCTATACGTACGGTTATTCGATTCAACTGTCTATAATCTATACATAAACGGTGTTCACCATTTCTCTTCTCGACCAAAACAATTCCCGATGCATACGGAGAATTCGATTTCCTTATGATTTCGTTATCCAGTAAGTCTTTCACAATATTTGCCACAATAGGACGTTTGGCAAATGCTAGTCGATATGGCTTGCATCGTATTGGTTCTGGAGTAGTAACTTCGATTTCCATCTTCACTAAGTTACACTTACCCAATTCGCTTGACTTTTCTGAAAAACATTGTCGGTTTTCTTGAATGTTCAACTGCAACTTCTTATGCTCTTCAGATGTTAAGCCTTCGTTGATACTAATCGCATTTACGTTTTGCATCCAACACTCATCTCCTTCAATAATGGTGCGTCGACCTTTTTTGGCATAAAACATCTCGACCTAAAAGAACATCATTCGGGATCATAGAATTTTCCACAACATAAAGGTTCACGTCGTAACTCGTCTCATCAATGTCAATTGGCACTTTAACCACCTTTGTGCACTCGTATTTGCCACCAGCAAAGCCATTTAAAACCATACTGCAATTTTCCGTTTCGCCAATTATCATTGCAAAACTTCGTCTGATCAGACTCCGATCACTTCCCGAATCAATAAATGCCTCAAACTCCTTGTCCTTTACTTTGACACGTTTACATAGTATTTCGTTGGACTTTACGCTGTCCCTTATATTGTTGACATTTGTGTTCAGGGTTTTTGTTGGACATTCACTTGCACCGTGTGAAGTCCGTTTGCATATCGTACATCTATTCTTCTTCTGTGGATCTGGGCAGTCTACGGCTTTGTGACCAGTATTACCACAATTAAAACATTTGAATTTATTCACTCTTTCATCGCTTTTCCTTTCTGGGGCAGTTCTATTTTCATTGCTACGTTTCGTCTTATTCGATATCGGGTTCAGCACTCTTCTTACCTCGTTATAACTACAGTATGCGTTGATGTCACTCAAAAGTTGATTACAGGTAATATACTCGTTAGATATTTTCTGCTTCAATCCTTGATCATTAATTCCGTTGACTATATGCCGTGCTATGGATGATTCATTTATATTGCCCCGTTTTCCAATAGCATACATTCTGTAATAATATTCCTGCGGCGTTTCGTCGAACTGCCGTTTTGTCTGTGCCATTCTAATGTGTACATCGGCTGCATTTACATTTTGAGGGAAATCTAAAAGAAATTTGTTAACAAACTGAGGCCAAGACAGAAATACCTCTTGCAGTGAGTCAACCCAATACTTGGCTGGGCCAGCCATTTTCTGTTGCACTGCAAATATAACTGATGCGTCGTCCCAGTTATAAGCTGTCTTCAATAATTCCACACGTCGCACGAATTGTGAAGGATTAATCGATTCTTCAGATGACGGATTAAACTCTGGCAAAAGTTGAATTATTTCCTTAACGTTCCCAAAGGGGTTGTGCTGAACATAACGTTGTGAAGGCTGCATAACTATTTCTGACTGCGGCGGCGCTGAATAGACACTTGTTGCAAATATCGGCGGTTGTAGATATGCGTTGTAGGGCTGCGTTGATTGAACATATCCATTGTTCGGCTGCGTGAACACTCCTGTCGGTGTTGCTGTTGTAAAATTCGAATGTGTCGTTATATGTGTTGGTACGTTGTAGCATGACGTCGCTACATTTTGCGTTGTATTTCGTGGAAGTTGAGCATGTCCGTGCAATGAAGGTGTAAACGTTGGTAAACCAGCAGAAGCACACGTGTGGACCGTTGGAATTGTTGACGTAGTCTGAAATGCACCAAAAGAAGTATTCGTTTGAACATACGATGGAATCGAACGTGATTCCGGTAATATTGTCACAACGTTTGCCACGTTTGGCAAGCTAGGCCGTGTGCCTTGCAGGGACATATTACCATCCGGTGTCGAAAACGTGTTCAAAGGGGATGATGCGTTGTTCGGCTCAAATTCTGATTTCCACGTTGCTCCATAGATGAACGCAATTCAGTTACCATATCTTCCAAATGCGAAATTCGCTCCTGCATATCATGAGGAGATGCGAATCCGTGCAGCTCGCTTTCGTTGTTGACTTCAAGTCGTTCGATCAATTGCTTTTTGTTACCACTTTGAGAAACACCAATTTCTCTGCATTTCGCTTGCAACTGCTTAACCGTGCATTTGTGCAAATTCTCCATATTTCTTGTTGGTAGACGCTTCTTCCAATAAGACTTGTCGTATCCCACTTCTGAGAAAAATGTCAAGTGATCGATTGAAGTCTGTTGGTTTCCGTATACTCAAATGAAATACAACGACCGTTTTTATATTAAATTAAGAATTCACAAACGTTTATTAAAATCAATTATACGAGCTTAAACTAGTACGCCTTGTCAGGTTGGCTTCGTATCTTCAACTCGTTACATTTTTAAAATTCAGGGTTGTATCCGGGTTGCATGTAATCGTATATTTTCACATGTATGCAACAAAAGGTATCTACTACTACTTTTAACTTGACAATAGTAACAAGAACAAAAACACAGCTTATGCTAGGAACACAATTGGAGCGAACGACGAATTTTTTCGCGGCGTATGTTCGTCTTCAAAAATAAAACACATATGTGTATATGGAAGTGCACACAATCACGGCACCGGCGAAAATTTCGTCGGTCGCCGCGAACTCAATTAGCTTTATTTCTATTTCATACGCCGGCGACCGGCGAACAAAACAGTACAAGGTGGCCATACTTGTACGAATTTTATGTGTTTTAGTAAATAAAGTTACTTTTTACTTTAAAATTTGTTATGGTCACTCTACTATCTGTTACTCGTATAAAAAAAAACATAATTAATTTGTTTATTTATTTGTGTACTTGCGCCTGAGTGAAGATGGATATCAGTGAATTTATAATAGAGAAGATGGACATAAGTGAAATTATAATAGAGAACGTAAAGAATTATGTGTTCTTGTATAATTCATTGTAGTCAACAAATGAGCAAAAAGTAAACAACTTCATCAGCTGTTTTATAATTTCGTCGGTATTGTGTTCCATACGACGAATTTTCGCGGCTCATTTTGTCGCCGCGTAGGGCGAAATTCGTCGTTCGCTCCAATTGTGTTCCTAGCATTACATATTGTAAAGTCTTATCAAAGTAGAACGCTTTTTTCTATAGAAGTGAGAATGGAAAGTAAATGATTAAAAAATAAATGAAAAAAGTGCGTAGTAAAATAAATATGTGAAATATACATTTTAACTTGGACCAAGGTATTTCGGTGAGGGCGAACATCTGTCTTTGATCATGAAAAAAAAAAAAAAAAAACAATCGCATTATCTCGTAGAGATTAGGTGATACAGACTAGTAGTGGCAATTAAAAATATTATTTAAAAAACATTTTTGTTGGCCTGTGAAAGTGAAACGAGGAGATTAATGGGAAATTTTATAGTTTCTCCACCGCTTCCCCTCTTGAACTTATTTTTTTGTATTTCATTTACAAGCTGAATTAATTTATGGTAGGTTAGGTAACAATTGAAATTGTAACTAACACAACCGGAATGAGAAATAAAAGTTGAGAGAGATGAAAGAGGATAGATGATGGTTAGTAACAAGTAAAAAAGTATCTGTCGGTTTATCTGAAAGATGTATACCCTCAGCCAATATTCGATTAAAAAATATGATATGATATGGAGATGTGCCAAGTCTGAATGAAATCGGATGTTAATATCGTGTTTTATGAGCTTCATGAATTTTCAAAATGTTGACCCTTTGTAGGTGAGGTACCAGAAGGAGTGGATCGATATATCCCATCTTCACACCAGGTGACCTTGAAGACAATCGGACTCTTACATCACATTTTATAAGAGTTATAATTAATCCAAATTTTGACCCCTTGTGGAGCAAGTACTTGATGGAGTGGACCGATATTGCCCATTTTCGCACCTGACCTAACACTGATGCAAATATTAGGATTTGCAAAGTAGGAGCAAAATCGGATTATCATTTCTCTTTTTGCGGATTTGCTCCAAAGAGACCTAGGGTCTAAAACCGTTTTTTCGATGAGGCTCGTTTTGACCATATCATATGATGTCTAGCCATACGAATGAGGGTATAAAATGATGGGGAAAAGAGCTGAATAGTCGAGTTTAAAATCCGGTAGTATCTGAATGCACACTGACATCATGAATCGAATTTTCCCTCATGGCTCGTAGTATTTCCCTTGATAGAGCAGGTCAGTGGCATAATAGGTGTTCAATCGTTTCACTCTCCTCCTCATCTTCACACTGACTGTAGTATTAGACGTTAGAATTATTCTATTTGGATGTTCTTGATCGGATATTGCAGTAGAGTAATATCCATATTGTTATCGGCAACATTGATAGAAACTGATGTTTCGATGACTTGCACCATGGTTCGTTGTACCAGCTCGCTTTGGCTTTCTCCCTGAAGAGAAGTTGCAATGCTCTGGTAAAATGACAAAGAAGAGTTTTTAAGATGTCTAATGACACTTCCCTCAATATTACAATTACCAGACACCCAGCAAGGCCAGATGGTAGTGTGCCATTCCACACCTCAGAACTGTATCGGAATTGATTGTAGAAGATTCAATATCTTTAAGAGCCACATGACCACATCCACATATATAGTCACCGGTTCAGTTATTTAATTCTCCATGATTTTAATCAATTCTGCCGTTTTCATCATAGCAAAGATCTCTGTCTGGAAAACTACACTACACTTTCTATACAAGTTGTAGGTGTAGTATGCAGCATATTCTATTCTGACAGTCTCAACGCACTTTGTGCTAACGAAAAGAACTTTTGCATTACATTTAAGGATACTTGGGGTATACTTTTGATGAGCCCGAAATTGGAATTGAAACTGCTCACTGTACGTTTGAGAGTTTCGAGCTATTTACCTTATATTTTCGGTATAGTATTGCGTATTTATTGTTTTTTACTCATTTTCCATAAGCCTGATATATTTTTAACGATATCATTCTATTTAATTTAACCAAAAATGTCATACAACGATACACATAACGTATTTGGTGATATAGCTGTTTTAAAAAGATATCTATTAACGAACATTGACTTTATTGAACGAACAAAAGAATAATATTTGGTTACCGCAAAATGGCATATAAAGTCTGAAAATGTTTCAATTAATTTAATTTGATTGCAGACATATACAGAACAGATACTGATTTGGCTAAGACGAAAGGGTTATATATTTCAGTTCTATCCCATTGTCATTTCTATGGATCTCTCGGTGAAACCCTTAGAGTGTCATTTAATGGAAATGATTACAGCCATTACCTTTAAAAAGTTGCACAGTGTCTCTCTCCAACGTAGTCAAGGATTCTCAATTAAAATTAAACTCTTGGTGAAGCCTATGCTAAGTAACTTCTTCGGTTTAAGGGTAACTTCCTTAGAAAGACACGGTAATAATAGAAACAAGGGAATGACTGCAATATCTCGAAAGCAATACGGACAATTTCATAATTGGGATTTCCTTTCATTTTTGCTTTCTAGGAAGAAAGAACACTTCAACCAAAATTTTTAAAAAATGTTTAAAAATCAACCAATTCGGAGGAAGTACCGCAGGCCGTCCTCAGCTACGTCGGTGGTGCATGTGTTTATGTGAGTTATAGGTAAAATGATAAAAATTCTCCCATCTGATAACAGTTGTACTCGAAATGAAAATAACTATTCTTTGAGTACTTCAATACATATTTTCTTCAAGGAAGATCAGATCCAACATGGTACTCACCATATGAAACTTCAGAATTTGGTGTTTGGTGAAGAATTCGATACGGTGCCGGTTTGGTGTCAAACACACTGTCAAATGTTCCAACCAATATTGATCCCAAACCACGTGATTCGCCATGGCCTCGGCGTTTTTGCAGCACAAAATATTTGGAATGTTTTTCGGCAATCCTGAAAAAAGAATTGGAAAGAAGTCATTAAAGATTTTGGTAAATTTTATTTAATGCTTAAAAACATTTAAAATATCAAAAAGACTTATACAATTTAAAATCCTCTATAGTATGTACTCATCCGCCATGTATATCTGTTAGCAGTATATTCATTATATCAGGATTTAAATACACAGCCTGTTGTCGTCTAGGTGCCGGTTGAATGTGAGGCAAACGTCTTCCACGCAAAACATTAATGCCAGGCATGTTTTCTTCATTATTTTTTGCCTCTTCACGTCTTCTTTGCCTTTCGGCAGCTTCACGACTAGTTGTCGGTTGATCACTATCCTCAGTAGATGTTTCTGTAATTGTTTCTTTGGAAACATCCGAGACATTTGGCAAGGAAGATGTAGATGAATGACTTTTACGCAATTCCATTGCTCTTTTATATTTAATTTTGTAAATTTTCTCAACCATGGCTTTACATTCTTGACAGACTTTTTCACGTGGCCTAAAATTTGGAAACATTTTCTTAACAAAGCTGATGTGGCGGGAATTTGTAATGTAAACACCGGGTCCCCGCAAAAGGTGTTCGTCGTCACCCAGCGGACAAAGCATTCCCTGTGATGAGGACATGTTTTCCCGTTGACTTCTATACAATTTAAGCAGACAAAACAACACAAAATTGTTGTAAATTTTAAGAACAATTTTTCTTTCAGATTTATTTAATTTTATTTACAATATTTATGAGTTGGCCCAAGGTCTGTAAAAGATCGGACAAGAAGACTACTTTTTGACAAGAATTTGACAATGAACTTATGCTCTGTTCGAGTACCTGCAAGAATATACTAGTTTTACAATTCTCTACGATATCATAAAGGGGAATGGAATATTTCGGTCCGCTATATCTGGTACCACACGCATATTTCCACATTTTCCAAAAATTTGCACATACAGGGTGAGATAAAAAAACTGCAACAAAGTCAAACGCCATTATTTTTAATTTTTTTTTAAATTTTTTTTTGAATGAAGGCAAAAATGTCGGATATAGCATCAAATTTTAGAATACGTTTAGATTTGTTCGAATTGTTTGTCTTTGGCACGAATTATGACCTTCAAACGGCCAATGAAACCGTCACACGCTGCCCGAATGTTGCTCAGCGGTATTTTGGCCCATACCCGGCGAAGAGCTTGCTTGAGGTGATCGACACTTTGGTATTTTTTAGTGCCAACCTTGCTTTCCAAAATACTCCAAACATAATAGTCCAATGGATTGGTATACGGATACTTTGGTAGTCAGTGTGCGCTGGAAATGAAGCAAGAAACCTCCTGTTGTTATGTCCAAGGTCTGTGGCCAAAATGTTTGCGTGCCCAAGGCTTTAATACACCCTACAGAATATTTTCGCGATCGATTAATACGATCGGAGAGCGACCATCGGCATTTTCAGCTGACCTCTTTGGCAAGTAAACACTATAATTTTGTTTGTTTACAAACTGCTGACAACGAATGTTTTCTCATCGGAGACGGAAAAAACCAAATTCGGCAGATCATCACTTTCCGCCAAGCAAAGCAACTCTTTAGCTTTTTTGAGTTTATTTTCTTTCTGTTGTGGTGTAAGTTCTTCCACTTTTTGGAATTTTAATGCCTTTACTCAAGCTCATTTTTCAATATTCGCCGAATGGAATATTGCGATATGTTCAGCTCGCGAGGCATTTTTCGGCCACAGCGACGCGAGTTTCGATCAAGTTGCTTCTTTACTTTTCGAACCATTTCTGCTGATGTTGCTGTTTTCTTCCGTCCACTTCCTTGACGTCGGGCTACGCTACCAGTATCACGGTAACGAGAGATGGTACGAAACACAAAAGATTTATTCACATTTAAATGCTGGAGTGTTTTAACGATAGTCACTTGCAATTTTCCAGCCAAATATAAAGAAATCACACTAACACGCTTGAATGGCGAATAACACGAATAACTTTTTTTCTGGAAAATTCTCACCAAAATGCTTTTGTACGCTTGTGAACAATATAATGAGCTGTCACGGACGAGTGGCTTAGAAATGACAGCAGTCTGAAGTTGGTTGCAGTTTTCTCAACTCACCCTGTACATTCATAATCAGCAAAAAATTCTAAGTCGACTTAAGGATTTTCGTCTGTCTGTCTGTTGAAATTACGATACAGCCCACATTATTTGACGTAGAGCTTCAAAATTTGGCGCAAGAATTTGTATTCTGTGCAGGATGGTTGGTATTAAAAATGGGATATATCGGTCTACGTTTTGATATAGCCGCCATATAACGTTACCTGCCGATATTCGGTGATTTGATGATTTTCGCCACAATTTTCCACGGATTTGTCTAAAAATTTGTATTCCGTAATGGGTTCTAGCTTCGGTGGCAGAATATTATTGCGCACATATAACAATACCCATCAATATTCGGTATTTTGATAATCCTATTAACATTTACCCACGAAATTGTTTCAAATTTGGAATTTAAGAAGATTTGGTAGATGATAATCCTCGAAGTATAAAATTGCCCATAGAGGTTCCCGTTTTGGTATGGCCCCATATAACGGCCTCACCCACTTTATGGTTTTTTGAAAAGTTCAACAGGATTATCTAAAACGTTTGAATTCAGATACTTTTATATAAAAATGTTTTCTTTACCCAAAGGTGGATGGTATTAAAAGTTCGGCTCGGGCGAACTTAATGTTTTTTTTGCTTGTCTAGTCGACTATGGCATTGTAAATTCATCGGACAGACAAAAAAATGAACATTTCTAATCGACCTAGAACTTTTTATACTTGGATGAGAGTCCCGCCTATATTGGTATATTTTAAATGGAATGGAAACGTCTTATCGTTTACATAAGGCTGAAAGTGATTAATCAATGGAATATCCTTTTCCAATTAGTTACTGCAGTGTTGTGTAGAGCAAAACTATTGCATTGCAAATAACATTTCTAAAGCATTGGTGTAGGCAAAGTAAAATCGTTTAAAGGCTCATTTCATTTTTTTTTAGAAACAACTGTAGGGACCATCATTGGACTGAGCTGTATTTCTTATCGCATTCTAATTGGAAACCTTAAACTGATGAACGGAAATGACATTTAAATAAATTAGAGTTTAACAAACAGTTGTGGGTAATTGATAATTTCATAATGTTCGCAAATTACAGAGTAAGTACAACACAGCAAAACGCAATGACGATTTTATTCACTTGGCTCCATGTTTGGTGCTACCTCTGACTTCAGCAAAATAAATGTGAGATCCATAGAAAATATAAACAAATGTCATTCGACTCGTGCCCAAATAACAAATCTGTTTTACAACTTATAAAACACTTGTGAATTTATTTGCATCCCTTAGCACTCTTACTCCCCTCTTTGAAAATTTTCGTTAGAATTTTTCTTATCAATAATGGGGGGTTTACATTTTATTGTTTATATTTTGCATGTACGCCTACCCACCAGATTAAAGTATTGCCCAACTTACCAAAATGCCGAAGGTAATAGAAGTTCTTTAGGTTCTATCCACATTATGTTGCCGCATGTACGTCCCTCGGGTTGATGATGATGTTATGGAATTCAGAAATCACAGTAGCCAAGTAACTTGCACAAACAAGCAAATAGATGGCTGGAAATTGTCTGCTCTCCAACAATTAGTTCCAATTAATTTGCAATTGTCGTTGTTGTTGTTATTGTTTTGTGAATCGCTCAGAATTTCTTTTGTATTTGGAGCTATTTGTGTATTTTATTTCACGCACTATTTTGATTTTCTTTATTTTATGTGCAAAACTAACTTTAGAATTGGGGTATTGTTCTTTCCCAACACTTTTTTAGTTGTTGCTTTATTACTTTAAAAAAGTCAAATACACACAGTGGTTCGAAGTTGTGGTGGCTTAATTAAAACTACAATGCCATGGAAAAGCAAAGTACCACGTTAAAACACCACAACGATGAGAAAATTCTGATTCATTTAACACACTCCAAAGACTGATTTTTTGAAAAGACTCCTCTTTGTGTTGTTTTCTCTTCGAATAGTTTTCCCAAATTTCGTTTTGATCCACTGTCCGATTCTATGTAACTTGGAGTTGATTTATTTTGCCTACACTTTGTTTTCTGTTTACATTCCGATGCATGGAAATATCACAAACCATTTTCTTTTATCAACTAATTTGTTAATACTTCAGTAGTAATATTATTGATTAATATTGAATAAATATTGCGAATATTAGTAATTTAACTTGTTTTTGCAAACTGCTCGTTTTGCGACTTCCTTTTCTTTGTGTTGTTCTTTTTACTTTATTTTTGTTTTGTTTTCTCGACGACTATCGATGAAACATTGCAATCGATGTTGTTTGCTATCGACTTTTCGGTCGTGAATCAATACAGATGAATTATTTCGATTATAAAAGATAACAAAATAAATAATTATCTAAGAAATTAAAAATTCTAAATTTTGAATATAAATATAAATAAATAAAAAAAAGGAAAATTTCGCATACATATATAGTTTACCAGTAGGCAGGTTAAGTTCGTAGATGGGCGATGTCGGTTCATGTTTTCGTAGAGTTCCCATATAACGGTACCTCCTGATATTCGGTATTTTTATGATTCTAGCGACAGTATTTACCGGAATTATTAAAAATTTCGTATTTGAAGTTCGTAATGGGTAAATGTTTACAGGTTCTGGAACGGTGCAATAAGTTTAAAATTTGTAACTTCTAAACATATCAGTCTTTATCACTCATCATTATTATTTTAATCACAACACATTTGAAATTCCCATCATTAAAGAATTATTAAAAATATTTTTTCTATAAAATTTTATTTAAATTTTGTTTTACAAGTGATTTTGAAATTCCCAAATTACAATGTACAAACAATTCGTTCCGCTCAATGCCAGCCAGAGTCCCACTAAAATCCTCATGAAGTGAGGACATTTTTGGGAGAGCCTCTAAAGCCGCAGCATCCTGAATGGCGTACCGAAAATTGTGGTTACGATCGATATTGTGATAATCCACAAATGTCCGATAATCGCAGACCCCTGACACTGGAAGATGAAATACGTAAAATACATCGGCGAACCCAGACAAATATCTATACCAAACGTTGTCGCAATGCCAAATGTAAAGAAACAGATCCATATCTAAGTTGTGTAGTGCCACAGCGTTCGCCAAAAGATTTAAAACGTCATGCCGTGTTGCGCGAGAAATATTTGAATCTTCAACGGAATATGGGAGAATATGTTCATGATATGAAAAATGTATATGCGGTTCATGCAAATAACGTTGAATTAGAAAGTCCACCTGGGGAATCGGATGAGGAGGATGCCGAAGAACAGGAACAGGAAGCTGTCAAGAATAATGTTAGACCTCAATTGGCCAGCCCAGAATGTAGCATGGAAATGCTATATGTTCCAACGCCAAGAATTGTAAGTAAAAAAGTTGTTTTCTATGAGAGAGTTGAATGATTAAAATGAGATTAAACTTGGGACTAGGGGTAAGGGACCTATAACAAAGCTAAATATAAATCTGGAAAAAAGTCATATACATGTGAATCTAACATGATGTGTAAAACATGTCTATAAACCGATTGTATATACACAGAAAAGAAACACGAGATTATACGTGAACCCAATACGTCAAAATTATAATACTAACAAGTAAAAAAAAAACAGTAAGTTCAGCCGGCCGAACTAAACTGAAAAGCTTCCACCATTTGGAACAAATTTGGAAATTTTGCAAAAAAATAAAAACCATTTAAAATTCTGTTAAACTCTCAAAAATACCGAATGTAGCCGTTATATTGGGGTCTATACGAAGATGTGGACCTGCATAGGCAGCTTTTGCATAAGCCATTACAATATACAAATACGGAACTTAAAAAAAGCCAGTGAATAATTTTGCTAATATCATCAAAATACCGACAATTTTCTGTTAGAGGATGTAATACCTATTAGGAACTTCATATACGAAATTTCAAACATTTTCGGTGAATATAGTACCTAAAATCGTAAAAATACCGAATATAGGGAGGTACTGATATATGGCGCCTATACGAAGACCTCGACCTGCATATACAATTTTCTGTCATAGACTGTGCTTCCCATTACGAACTCTAAATACGAAATTTGAAACAACTCCGGTGAATAATTCTCCTAAAATCATCAAAATACCGAATATCGGAGGTGCCGTTTTATGGGGGGTTATACGAAGACGTGGACCTTTACAGACAATTATCCGTCATAGTCTGTAGTATTCATTACGAACTTCAAATACCAAATTTGCAACAATACTGGTGAATAATGTCCATAAAAACATCAAAATACCGAATATCAGGGGTACCATTGTGTGGGGGCTATAAGATATCGTGGGGGCTATAAGAAATTTCTATTAGGGGCTAATGTAGTCACTCAGAACTCCTTATGCGGGTTTTCACACAATCTCATTTAAAATTTGGCTAAATTCATCAAAATACCACATTTATGGGGGAACCGTTGCATGGGGGCCATACGATATCGTGGATCTATAAAGACAATTCTCTTCCAGGGTGTTACGTTATCAGAAATAACACCTTGTGTGTATTTTCAGACAATTCCGTTGGCAAATTTGGCTAAAATCATCATAATACCGAATATCGGGGGGTACCGTTGCATAGGGGCTATAGATATCGTGGACCGAAATGGCTCGTCTTCGAACTGCACTTTTTGAAATTTCAATGCTTTTACCCCGTGCTCATTTTTCGATATTTGCGAATGGAATATTGCGATATGTTCAGCTCACGAGCCATTTTTCGGTCACTGCGACGCGGGTTCAAGTCGCTTCTATACTTTTCGAACCATTTCTGCTGATGTTGCTGTTTTCTTCTGTCCACTTCCTTGACGTCGGCTACGCTACCAGGTAACCACGGTAACGAGCGATGTTACAAGACGCAAAAGATTTATTCACATTTAAATGCTGGAGCCACTTGTGGGTTTCCAGCCAGACATAAAGAAATCACACTATCACGCTTGAATTCCATTACGAATAAATTTTCAACAAAATGCTTTTGTACGCTTGTAAACAATATAATGAGCTATCACTAGAATAATTTTAACAGCTGGCTTAGATAGAAATGACAACAGTCTAAAGTTAGTTGCAGTTTTTTATCTTACCCTGCATACTTTGTGTGGAGGGTATAAAAAGGGGATTTACTCTTTGTAATACGGGGTCTATTTAAACGTGGGTAGGCATATGCCAAAACACCTCAACATAATATAAACTTATTTGACAAATATCAAAGACAACCATACATTGATGTAGTCTCTATCTTAATTTCTATAGAAAGGCGGTCGCAGCTCAATCTAAATTGAATTAAGGAATATTTACTTTATGGGGTCTGACAAAGGGGGTCTAAAAAATTTAATATACTCCATGGTAAAGGTTATAATAAAAAACGTTAGTTATTGAAGTGTAACTTCTTTCCTAAAAGGAATCTTAATCAGCAGAAGTCTTAGGCCTTAAATTATTCTTAAATTATTTTTAACAAATCATAAATAGGACTACCGGTTTTTTTTTCCAAATAATTACTAAAAATAATTAAATTGTTAAACAAAATACATTTTTGTTTGTTTTCTCTTTCGAGACGAGCTTAATGATCTGAAATTTGCAGTGAAAAGGAAAGTCAGATAGACGCTATCACACACTCACCACTATGCGACGCGTTTCGCCGTTGGTTAAGCGGCTCATCAGGCATATTTGATGTGGATGATGGCTTACAAGGGCCGTTCTCTGGAAAGTAGTATATATTTCGAACTTATTGCAAATTAGCATATGCGAATTATACAATAGAAACTCTCCAGGTTCGACTCAAGTTCTATTGGCAGATCTTTTTCACAGCAACGTTTTGTTATTGTATAATTCGCATATGCTAATTTGCAATAAGTTCGAAATATATACTACTTTCCAGAGAACGGCCCTTGTAAGCCATCATCCACATCAAATATGCCTGATGAGCCGCTTAACCAACGGCGAAACGCGTCGCATAGTGGTGAGTGTGTGATAGCGTCTATCTGACTTTCCTTTTCACTGCAAATTTCAGATCATTAAGCTCGTCTCGAAAGAGAAAACAAACACTTAAATCATAAAACATATGATCTTCGCCTTAACAAGGCAAAACTCAAAAATTCAGCTGAGCCTGGCTGTGGGATTTGAACCGCGGACCTCTGTGTGCAGCCAACTAGAAGTTGCCGTCTCTACGTTCTGAGCCATTAACCCGTCTTCCTAAAGCAGCACTAAAAAAGTGTATGCATTGTGTCAAGTGATCGATTGAAGTCTGTTGGTTTCCGTATACTCAAATGAAATACAACGACCGTTTTTATATTAAATTAAGAATTCACAACGTTTATTAAATCAATTATACGAGCTTAAACTAGTACGCCTTGTCAGGTTGGCTTCGTATCTTCAACTCGTTACATTTTTAAAATTCAGGGTTGTATCCGGGTTGCATGTAATCGTATATTTTCACATGTATGCAACAAAAGGTATCTACTACTACTTTTAACTTGACAACTCGGCCTTTCCTGACCTGAAGTCGTCCTCGGCTTCATCTTCGCTTGAAACATCCAATTCGGGGGAACATTCACACCATTTCTTCAACTTGTCGGAACTGAATACGGAACAGAATTTCCTATTCGTGATGTTTATTCCAGGAATGTCCTCTATCAGGTACCTGTCGTTGCCCAATACTCGTGCTATTATGTATGGACCTTTGTATTTAGGTTCTAACTTCCGGGATTCACCTGTCGCTGGTGGTTCATTCTGTATAAGGATCAAGTCACCTTCCACATACAATTTCGGATTCGAATGCTTGCTGTCAAATCTTTTCTTCCATCGTTCTCGTTCGCTTTTGATGTTTTCTGCGGCCATGATACGTTTTTCGTTGATGGAAATTTCTTCGTTTTGTACATCATCTTGTACAGCTGCTAACAATCGGTTTTGTATTAAGTCGGTGGGCTTGTAATCGAAAATCAACTCATTCGGACTGTAACCTGTTGTCGAATTTTTGGTTGAATTGATTGACCATTGTAAAACGTGAAGTGCCGAGTCCCAATCCTTCGGTTCTTCAGTGGTAGTTCGTAAATAAGACAGGATAAGTTGATTGACCCTCTCAACTTGTCCATTGGCTCTTGGTGTACGAACGGCATTCTTAATGTGTTGAATATTGTTTCGATCGCAATATTCCTCAAACATTTTTGACGTAAAAGCTGTCCCACGGTCCGAAATTATTCTTCGAGGTAAACCAAAGTATCCACTAACCTC